CCCCCCCCCCCCCCGAACCCCCTTTAACCGGTGGCTTCGCCCCCTGGACTCCCAGTTCATCCTTTGCAAATATATTCTTTGTATTTGTATTTTTTCTGGATTGCAAATATATTCTTTGTATTTATATGCACATGTGACTACGAAGCACATACATTTCGCTGTTTGTCGTCGGTGTGACAGTTTTCCTAACCTTAACAGTGATCAACTTTGTCAATTAATATCTCGCTTCACAGTAGAGAGCGACAATTTTTCCTAATAGAAAAGTTGTTTGCCTTTAAAAAATGCGTCGATTGAGTATATTTTCATCAAAATCGGAGGTGAAGTCTGTAAACTTAATAATTACCATAATTATGCCTGAGTACATTAGGCCTGTTCTTTGTAGTGCACTACTGAACTGATGCAATATATTGAAGTGAGACAAATATACGTTTTCTCAGTCTAACTTACTGCACTAGTTCAGCAGTGCAGCTACAAAAAAAAAAGAACAGGCCTATTATATTACACTATTGAATCGATGTATGAATCGAGTACAATGTACGAAACTTACTGTAGACACGGTTCTAGAACTTCGTTCGTGTTGTGAATTACCGGTGCTATCGGGCTCATCATCGATTGCGGGTTAATATTTTGCGATGTGCTCGGCCTCGGCACATTGGTCTGCGAGAGAAATTCACAGTATGCTAATGATCACACGTGTTCTTGAGAATGAATTTTCAGAAACAGATTTCCAGAAAAATTTTTAACATTTTATAGCTTACCGACAACGGCGGTGCCATAGAACCATCCTCGTTAGCATTTTTTGCAGGATTGTTGAGCAATTTCTTTAACTCGTTATCCTCGTGCACAACCGGTGTCATTCCGAAAGCGAGCGGCTTCTAGAGAGTATCAAAATCGCGTGGTTCGACATAGCACAACTACCTAACGTGCACAACTGCGAGTCAGCTACGGTCGAAGTGAAAATCGCGTCATTGCTGTAGAAAATGAATTCAGCAACATCTACACGCATACAGTACGAATCATGTTCGGATACTCGGCGCTTTAATCGTATGCTGGTATTGCAGATACCATGACTTAGAATTATCGACTAAAATTCCACAATGAATTCGATGTTACCGTAGCGGTTACCATAGCAACGACGTGATGAAATATTTTGATGTATACGATTTGACAGCTATTGACAGCCACTGAATGTAACGATGTAACGTCACAGTCCATTTTACAAATTAATTTGTGGTGCGTAATTTAACAATGAGCTCGATCCTCGGTGGTGGTGACAGTAATGAGAACGTCGTTATTTTCGACGTGTCAAAAAATGAAAGAAAACCGAACGATGAATTCAAAGTGCTGCAACGCAAACTGAAGGCAAAGTGGAAATTTATTGAGTGAGTGAAAAATTTTCGAAGCTATCAATGCAGCATACAAGTTATATCAACTGTGGGAACATTCGTATTAAAATGACAACTAATTTACATGTATGTTTTATAGGAATAATGAAGTTATATCACAGGAATCGTTGACAAATGCCAAAGTCTTAGTGTTGGCTGGACCGTTAGGTAAATTTACTGAATTGGAGATGAATTCTATTCGAACTTTCTTGAATTCCAGTGGCAATGTTCTTGTCACGCTTGGAGAAGGTGGTGAAAATAAGTCCAACACAAATATTAATTTCTTATTAGAAGAGTTTGGCATAATGGTAAATAATGGTATGTATGAAGTAACTATTAATAATATACAATTATAATCTTCCTTCTTATGCAGCTAAAAGAGTATAAATGTATACATACATATAAATAAGTATACATAAGCTTACGCATTAATTCTTCTGATCGCAGATAGCGTAGCTCGCATGAGTTATAGTCAAACAATGCATCCTAAGGAGTCTCTGATCCGCCAAGGCCTGTCAAACAAGTCTATCTTTTTGAAAAATCACAATGAATACATGTAAGGTATTACAACAAAATATGTCACAAGATCTTACAATAAGACAATAATATGTCTTAATTTTATATGTATCTACTTGAATAGATAGATGGGCCCTATTGTTAATAAGTATTCTTTCTAGTGGCGCGAAATTCTTGTATCCTTATGGCGCGACTTTAAACGTAGTGCAGCCATCCGTAGTCGCCCTGTCCAGTGGATCAGTCGCCGTTCCAATGAACAGACCAATTTGTGCCTATCATTGTATGAAAAACGGCGGCGGCAAGTTGGTTGTATTAGGCTCGTCCAGAATGCTGACGGACACTTACATAGAAAAGGAGAACAACGACGCGTTGCGCGAGATGATCTTTGACTTTTTCGAATTAGATGTCGCGGAGACCGTGAATCCCCACACCGATGACGTAGACGTGAGTTTGCACGAAATTATTAGATAATATGTGATTTATTAAAATTAATAAAGATTTATTAAAGCTCCCAGATACTTACCGCGGTCATGTTGGATTGTGACATCAGAAGTAAGAAATAACAGGTTGAGAATTCTTACATGCTATTTTCAAATAAAAAGATATTTGCACGAAAGAACATTTAAGAAAACTCTTCTCTTTTCTTGATAATCAATAAATAATAGTAAAATGAACCTAGTAAGATCATGTGAGGAAAGTTTTTTTTGCATTTACAAGAGATTGCTCAAGCAATCTCAAGTGTTCTCTCATAGAAATATCTTTTTATTTGAAAAAAGTGGTATACGTTTTCTTGCTTCTAATGTAATCAATTAAGAATTCTGCGGTGGGACCAGGATCAAGAATAAATTTTCTTAAGCAACAATCAACGAAGCTTATTTCTATGTGTGCAGTTTTGGGAATACAATTTCGTCCCGGATATAACGCAACACGCGGACAATCCGAAAGTTTGCACGCAGGATTTGGATAATATAGATATACCTCGTGAATACACAAAGCTATTCAAGCACCACTTCTATTCCATTAATTTGAATATGATACCGGCCTGTATAAAGGCATACGAAGCTCTGGGCGTGAAACACGAGCCACTCAGCTTGATATCGCCTCATTTCGAGGCACCCTTGCCTCCGACACAGGCATCGGCAAGTATCACGCAGAATACAAAAGTTATCTCTATTATGACGACTGATTTGTTATCTTCGTATAATGCAAAACCGAAAAATCAATCCATAGATATTTCCACCGAGTTTCCAAGAATTACCGCCACCTGCTTTAGAGCTGTTCGATCTGGACGAGGCGTTCAGTTCAGATTTATTAAAATTGTCACAGCTCACCAACAAATACACGGCGACGAAGGATCTATCAGGCAACAAAGAATTGGATCATTATATCAGGGAATTTGGAAGTATAATAAGAATAAACAATACCGACACACACACTGCTAAGGAAGTGTTGCATTCTGTTTTCCAGAAAATCTGCAGTTACAAAACAATGCATGATTAAGATTGTTAATTAAGATTAAGATTGTACAGAAGTTAACTTAATATATATAAAGTTTTTTTTCTAGTAAGCTGATAACAGTAAATATTTTTATCAACCTTCCACATCATGTATTTATTATTATTAGAGAATGTGGTTAAACTTTATATTTGATGTGAGTATATACGTTAGTGACGATTTCGAGCGTTTACTCAGTATGCATGCGCGAGAAAAATTTTTCTCAAATCCATCACTAATTCAACTAACTCTGTATAGGTTCGCCGATTTGTATGCATATGAAACAGTTAAGAGATTTTGTACTTGGTGAAGTATAGTTACCAATAGTTTCTGTTATAAATAAGAGTCACTATTATTTACGTTTATAGACGCATTTCTATAAAGGAAAGATTGGTGATCAAGAAACAAGGCGCGAGTCGCAAAAAAGTCGAACAGCTGATGAAGATCGTGAATTCCAGCTGTGCAATTGCGAAGACAGAATAATTATAAACACAAGTTTAGAGAAAGAAATAAGAACTCGCAAACGAAGATATCAATCAAAAAATAGGAAAAAGGGCAATTCGAGTTCAAGCACAGGACTAATAGTGCTATATAGGAGAATTCTTAGGAGTTCTATGGTGGAGTTAACGGCCATACAGGAATATCGTTTGAGGAAGAACCATGATTTTGATTGGGATCATGCCAAAGTTTTACATGAGGAACACTTTTACTTAAAACGCCTGATCTCAGAAATGATTTTCATCAAATTTCAGAAGCATGGTCTTAACTCACGAGAAAAGAATACTGAATATTTGGGCACCAGCTACTGCGGCTTGTTATGAAAATAAACTTTGTTTTGGTTTCCTTCTCTTCCACAAGTCGTTTCCGCAATGTTAATGCTAGATATATAAATCTGTAATTATTTGTATTTCGTAGACGTGGCGACGTTATCCTTAACAGGATCGGTTTACTTTTAGCTGAACTCAACAAAGGTATTTTATATTGTCAGTTTTAATTATTTATTATATTTCAATTTTATTTCTTATTTCTTATTTCTTTATTTCTTATTTCTTTATTTTATTTTATGATTTTTATAGTTATGACGGCTTCTCAATATAAATTAACTACTTAATATTATTTCGGTAACGGTCTTGTCAGCTTTAATATTGCGATTAACATTCATGTCAAGTTACGCAGGTCTTTAACTAATTGTAATACGTTCGTGTCATAAACCTTAAGTTTTTTATTATCACTGAAGAGGATTCATGGTTGAGCTGAAATGTATGATTGTTTTATATTGATTATTCATGTTCAATAAATATTACACGATTTCCTAACACAAGGAAGATTTTTTTACCCATATGGTATATAGCACTATTAGTCCTGTGCTTGAACTCGAATTGCCCTTTTTCCTATTTTTTGATTGATAAACACAAGTTATATATGAAAATGTTGCTGCAGTACACCTCAATGACGGGACGTGAGATGAGCAAGGACGTAGCGGGAATGAATTCTGGATCCTCCAGGGACGACAGCAGCACAGACAATTCACGGTTCAACCAGCTCGCGGTGCAACTGCAGGAGGATACCGTAGATTCGACAAAACTAGTAAAACTACCTCCTTTCTGGAAGAACTACCCAGTACTATGGTTTATACAGGTAGAATCTACATTTGCGTTATCTAGAATTACTAGCGACGAGGTAAAGTACAGATGCATCATACAAAACCTAGAGCCCGCGGTTATGCCGTTTGTTTCGGATCTGTTGATGAACCCACCCTTCGTAAATCGATACGAAACGATCAAGCAAAAGATCATCAGTTTGTTCGAAGAGACAGACGAGTGCAGGCTGCGGAAATTACTGCAAGGATACGAGCTGGGCAAAGAGAAACCGTCACATTTTCTACAACGACTAAAGGACTTAGCTGGTGTGCGATGCAGCGATGCAGTAGTGCGAATCCTCTTTCTAGAGCATCTACCTGATAATGTCAGAAAAATACTGGCCATCAGTGAAGTCACTAACCTATCCAAGTTAGGCCTGCAAGCTGACAAAATCATTGAGATATCAAATGCCAACGTATCGCAGATAATCAGCTCAGATCAGAGAAAGGAAAATAACAATGACAGCATGTCAGAGTTCAGTGAGCTGCGTGAGGCTGTGGAAGCCATAGCTGCAGAATTAAATGAGTTGAAGCACCGACCACACTGTGCCAGACAGAGGAGTAGCTCCAGAGACAGATACAGCAAGCGCAGAGTACCAAAGTCTCCCAGACCAAAAGCCAAGATATGCTACTACCACAAAAAATTCGGAAACAGGGCCTTTCGATGCTTGCTTCCTTGCGCATATAAATTGCAAGCGGAAAACTAGACGCGTCGCAGGGTCAGGAGACGAGACTGGATGGCGTAAGATCATCTCGTCTCATAGTCGTGGATCGAAGCGAAGGAACAAGATTTCTGGTGGACACAGGCGTGGATGTATCTATCTTGTCGAGAAGCATGGTAAATGGAAAATTTAATTTAGATAAATATAAACTATACGTGGCTAATAATACGCTGATTAATATTTACGGTATGAAGCTAGTCAGTGTAGACTTAGGAATAAGACATAAGACGGAATGGACGTTTATAGTAGCTGACGTGAAACAGGCGATTATAGACGCTGACTTTCTAGAACATTACGGATTGTTGGACATCAGACGCAAGATGCTACAGGACCAGACAACGAAAATTCAGGTGCCCGGCGAGGTCGTGAATCAGGAAATAGGAGAGATTATTACGTTTGATACTGCCAGCCCATTTGCCGATTTGTTGAAAGAGTTCTCGAAACCGGTGAGTGGGAAGCAACTGAGATATGACGTCAGACATCACTTAGTTACAACTGGATCACCGGTAGAACCGGCACGGAGATGGTAGAACCGAACGGAGAAAGAGCGCAAGCAATACGTGAGCAGAACAAGTCGGACATTGGGATCTGCAGACCGAACAGCCAGTGGATCGATTCTAGCTCCAAAGAGAGACGGAGATTGGCGGTTATGTGATGATCACAGACGCTTGAAAAAAGTAACGTTGTCGGATAAATATCTCATCTTTATGACTTTGCATAGAAGTACTCGCAAGATGTACAATTTTCACAACATAGATGTAGCATGTTCATGCCACCAGACATCTGTAACAGAGGATGACAGAGAGAAGACAGTATTAATAACGCTATTCAGTCTATACAATGTCATGCCATTTGAATTGAGGAATGCGACGCAAACATTTCGAAGATTCATGAACCAGATACTGTAAGGAGTAAACCATTGTTATTGGTACATTAGTATGAACAGCAGCAAAATTAGTTTATGGAGTAACGATTAAACTACCAGCAGAATATTGACGAACACTCAACAACAAGATCTACATGTATTTATTGAGAAATTCCGAGAGATATCGACCTACGTGTATTTATTGAGGAGATGAGAGATAACGACCTACATGTATTTATTGAGAAATTCCGAGAGAAGATGAGAGATCAAACTATCACCAACAGCACACCGCTGCCGGAAAAAAATTATTTTTCCACAGAAAGCTCAAGATTCATGTACACATGTATTCGCACGTATGGATAAGACAAAGGGACCACTAGACCTTACGGAGAACCTTGTCCTATCTTCTGCAAAATTTCCAGTTTTTTTGTTTCAGATTTTATACAAAGGCGAGACAATGAGTGTTCCTATCGAAAGACTGAAATCAGTATTTATTGAAACATTTGTCGAGATCGAGACTGCCATAAACATGGACGATCAGCTCTGCATGTTCAGAACAGACAAATCTAGGATGTACTCCAGAAAGAAAATTCGCGCCTTAATTGAGAGCTTGGCGCTTCGGTGGGGGGAAGGGGGAATATATGAGCCAACGCACAAGCACATCTGTAACATGTTACGTTAGGGTGCGTTTAGATGGAGAAAGAAATAGCGGAACGGAAAAGAGATATGGTCAGCCAATCAGAGTAATTCCGTTCTGTTGTTTGATAGATAGGTTTCACATGGCACAGAACTGTTACGGAATGTAACAAAACGGAAAACATTCTAACCTATCAACATCGAAAATTTTACAATTGATAAGTTGATAGGATCATCAATTATTAATTGATGTTGATAGGAACATCAACTATTAATTAATGTTGATAGGAACATCAATTATTAATTGATGTTGATAGGTTAGAATGTTTTGCGTTTTTGTTTCGTTTCGTAACAGTTATGTGCAGTTGTGTGAAACCTACCTATCAAACAACAGAACGGAATAAAACGGAATTACTCTGATTGGCTGACCCCCACTATATCTCTTTTCCGTAACTGTTCCGTTACGCTATTTCTTTCTCCATCTGAACGCACCATCGACATATAGGGCTGCGTTCAGATTCCCCACCCGGGTGTATTCTATTACTAGAACTGCTATAGTATATGTCACATATACTATAGTGTTTCTAGTAATAGAGTGCACCCGGATGAGGAATCTGAACGCACCCTAGAATGGACTGCTAAATGAAGTGATAGGAATAGGAACAGATGTAGAGTGAGGCAGACAATAGTAGGACACTTTCCGTCTCTGTTTACTGAAATTTGAATAGCTGCAGCAATTTCAGCAATACTGTATCCTGCGAAAGTCAGGCTGCAAGCTAGACGCAAAAGTATTATTTCACGCTACATCTTTATTACGTTGCTCGAAAATATCATGTAATACAAAAATTAAAATAGTACATTTTGTCCAGTTAACCAATTAATACTACTGCATATATAATATCGAGTTGTATTTCTTTTTCTACCTACCTATTTACATATGTATTCATACTTATTCTCATTTCAATACTAATGAAATGTTATTATGTATAAAATAGTAATTACAACCGAGTATTCACGAAAATGGCGACCTTACGGTTCGACGATACTCGAAATGATTGGTCAATTCTTAAGCTAGCCACACACACTTTTCGTAACAGTAAGACGTAACGTAAAAATTCACCAATTACAATCGAGTATTCATAAAAATGGCGACCTTATGATTCGACAATTCTCAGCATGATTGGTCAATTCTTACGTTATGTTTTACGGTTACTGTTACGGAAAGTGTGTGTGGCTAACTTTAGGGCCTGAGCACAGACTTTTGCATAACGCATAATGCATAACACATAAGGAAATCAATCAATCAGAGTCATTCATTCCTATCCTGGAAAGAGAAATAAAGATCTCTGATTGGTTGATTCCCTTATGCGTTATACATTATGAGTTATGCAAAAGTCTGTGCTCAGGCCCTAACGATACGTCTTACATTACTATTATGTCAATTCGTGTGAGGCGCCCCTAAAGCTGGTGGCACATAGAAAAACTTAAGCAGTAAGACGTAAGCAGTAAGCGAATCAGCCAATCACAGTCGTTGATTCTTGGACCGTAAGAAGAATCAATGACTGTGATTGGTCAATTTGCTTACTGCTTACGTTTTACTGTTTAAGTTTTTCTATGTGCCACCAGCTTTAAGGTTCGGATACTTGCGGAAAGACACTTGCGGAAAGTGGTACGTTGATTGGCTACCACTTTAACGCTCGACGCTCAATGCTCCCATGTAAAGGTACCTTTATGCATGCGCACGAAGGCTTCCGCGTGAAAAAAATCCCCCACGCAGCGCATCATTAGGTACTACAAACGCTCATTGGCACATTCCGTTAGATCTAAAAATATACATCAATCAGATGCAAGAGTTCACTAAACATTTTTAAGCGGTTGCAATACTGCGTTCTATAATTTGGCAACCCTGAAAGTGTCGTTTATCAGTATATTCTAAGCGTTGTGAGAAGTTTGTAGACAAATTGTGGAAACGTTGAACATTAAGAAATCAACAAATTGAGACTTATAATTATTCTTGTGTTGATTAATTTAACGCTATCGCTAACACTTTATTTATTTGTTATACGTGTCCAAATATTCAACTCAATTTCCAATATCAATATAATAGTAGTATTATAGTATAGTAGAAACTTGTGACATTACACTACCATGTAATCATTGATTTCATTGGAAATATTTAAAAGGCTATGGTTATAATTGGTCGCAAAAGAATTGTTTTGGTGGGATTCTAAATTTGGTCTTTGTGTAATTATAAAATATAGTTAGCGAAAATGTCTGTGTTTTTCGTAAATGCGTAAGTAAAAACACGTGTTCTCACTTTTAGGTTATAAACTACTAAATACGTACAGATAAACACTTGTATAACTATGCTACTGTATCAAAATGTATTGTAGAAATTATATACAAATTTTATGTAAAAATCGATGTATCTGAATCGATGTAAATTAATATATAAAAATTTAATATCAAGGTATCAATGAGACATTAAGTTATAATTGAATTTAACAGATCAATACGTTATTAAGCTGCTACAAAATTTCCCGTTAAGAGAGCTAATTAAGAAATTGTTTGCTCGTAAAAACGATCATTCTGTCTTTATTTTTCACTTTATTTCTTAAGATCTAACACTTTTACTATAGTCCTAAAGCAAATAAAACCAACTGGACAGCAAGAAAAAAAAAGTTGGTTACAAATTGATATATTATTCAAATATTTATTACTTGTTTTAGTAATCAGGATAGCGAAGTAGAAGGAGACTCAAATGGTGACTTGCAAATTGCATCACCAGGTAGTTCCGAAGCCCAACAATGCTTGGCTCAGTTCTGGCCAAAAGTTACGGAGGAAATCAAGAAGATCACAACTGTTAGTACATTGTGTCATGATGGATGCACAATGAAGTAGAATCCTTCATCATTTTTATATTAAATTATTTATTTTTTATTTTACAGATGGACCTGAAAACACAATCCTTGCCATTAGCAAGGATAAAGAAGATTATGAAGTTGGATGGAGATGTAAAAATGATAAGCGCTGAAGCTCCTATGCTCTTTTCCAAAGCAGCAGAGATTTTTATACATGAACTGACTCTACGAGCTTGGGTGCATACAGAAGACAACAAACGACGTACACTCCAACGGAACGATATCGCTATGGCGATCACAAAATATGATCAGTTTGATTTTCTCATAGACATAGTACCGAGGGACGAACTGAAGCAGAGCAAAGCACAGGCCGACAGCACTGTACGTACATCCATGAACTCTGATCAGGTGCACTATTACTTTCAATTGGCACAACAACAAGCTTCAGCCAATCAAAATGTGCAGAATAATAGCAGCACCACACAGCCCATACAAATTGTGCAGCCTTCCGCCGGTCAAATCCAAACGATCAATATCGGGAGTCCCGTTGAACAAGTATATTTCCTTCCTCTCGACTAATCTAAGAGAAAGAAAAAAAAGGAACTCGTGCACACAATAATCTTTTGCCTCTCTGCGAATTTCAGGAAGCTGCCAGTACGAATACAACACAGACTGTCACAGTACAAAGTCCACAGCAGTCGTCTGGTCAGCAAATTATTCAGTTGCAACAAGCACAACAATCACCCAGCTCACAAACTGGAGGACTACAAATCATACAGCAAGTAGTTGCTCCGAGTGGTGAAGTTCAGAACATACCTGTAAGTAATGAAGTTCAGAACATCCCTGTAAGTAGAAACTAAATTTTTTTTTGTTATATCTTGCTCACACGCATTTTGTCCCAACTTTTTTATTTATTTCTTTCAGATTCAATTGACACCCCAACAACTACAGATGATTCGTATGCAAGTACAAGGCGGCAGTAATCAGCCGATAATAATACAGACCGCTCCAATACAAACTCAGCCACAACTTATACAGGTTGCACAAGGCGCGCAAGCTCCGGTTTTCATACAGACCACTAGTGCCGATACTGAATAATATTCATTATCATACTTTTAGAATAAAATTAAGTTGATAATTTTAAAATTATTAAACTATGTCATAATTTTGAAGTATAAGAAATAATTATCATATGCGAGAAAGTAAATATATTTCTCTTGTAAATTGTGATATTTCATTTTTTTTCCTATTCTTCTCTCTCTATCTATCTTGTCCTTTCTATTTCGAGTGAAATAGGCAAATTACATTTACGAAATCGACGAGTTTGCGTAGTGCAATATAAGTTTAAACATTGACAAATAATTAAATAATTAATAATTAAATAATTAATAATTAAATAATTAATAAGCCAGGTCACAAGAAGCATATATTGTTTTTAGCAAAACAATCACTGCCAGGTATGGGCAAATTACTTGTCAATGTTTAAACTTATATTTTACTACAAGAAAGTCGTAAGAAATAATCGTAATCATGATTTTCACAGTTCTACAAGACTTTTGCAAATTGGCCTTGGATTATCTGCAGAAGGGCCCAAATGTTAAAGTGTACAATGCTGTTGCTCGTGAATAGTTGATTGTTGCTATTTTCAAAATGTGACGCAGACCGACAATCTCAACATATCATGCACTAGTTATTAGAATTTTCTAAACATACGCAATATATATTTGTTATTTATTGATTATTTAAAGAAGCGCTAACAATGTATAGCTTATAAGCCATATTTAGAGGCAATGTTATCAAGAATTTACAATGAGGGCTTTAATGTTAAGAACTGTTATGCTGTTATGCCTTAATGTTATGCTGAATACTAACATAATGTCTTGCAGTTTGCACTATTTTTCCTACTTGGTTTCATACAATTGTAAATACTTTTATATAGTGAAAGTACAAATGTCAAAGCATAAAAAATACTATTGTATGAAAAACAAAAAAAGAATTTTGTAGAATATGAAAGATAGTATGTTATAGGATTGTAAATGTTTTTATAGAATGAAAGTATAAATATCAATGCATGATAAAACATTATATAAATTATATAAAATATTATATAAAAAAATTTTATAAATAAATTTTGTTTGCAAATTTTTTTAATCAATATTTGGTACTTTTTCATATATTCACAGCACTTAAAAATATAATTATTTTTATAATTCTCTGGGACAAAATATAAAAACAGTACAAACTACAAAACTCTAGTCATATACATTTGTATATCTGACTATATTTAAGACTTAATAACTTCATAATTAACTCTATTATTCTGTTGTTTTGTGCTTATTGCAGAGAAGCTGAACATTGAGTTGGATGTAATTAAAAATTCAGTTGAGGGTTTGGTTAATCTCTTACTTGAAGCAAGCAAACATAAAGTAAGATCTACAACAATAAAATAAAAGTCTCTGTGTAAATAGCTAAATGTTACATTATTAATATTATTATATAAATATTGTTTATTGTATTTGTATTTTATAGTTGAACACAGAAGATTTGGGATTCTCCTGTCCCTAGATAACACAGAGATGCTGTTCGGAAGCGACATCTTTGGCGCGATCCCGAGCGCACATCGAGATCGAGATCGAGATTTCAAGACAGCTAATGGGCATCGCGGAAAAGAAGCAACAATGGACATATCCATGACTTTTTTTTAGTTGGATGAGCTTTTCAATATTGTGCATAGAAAATTACATTATCGAATTGAAACTCTACCCGAGAATATCCATATATTTTACACAAATAAATATGTTTATATTCTTATGTAACATACATACACAAATATTTGTAACAAATATGCTTATATTCGTGGCGCGTAATCGTGCGTACTGGCATTGTTATAAGACGCTGATCGAAGGGTTGGTCACTGAAGCGAAATGAGGTGAATCGAGGCGATGTAAGGTGAAGAATAAAGATAAGCAGCCAACGCAAGATGTAATCTGATTCGTACGTCGCGTTCCTTAGCCGCTGGCTGCTTCGCATGGCTGAGCTTAGGACTGGCTGGTGCAACTTGTATTATGTTTCACGTTGCTGCGGTTCTTGTCTGGCGAGTCCTGAGGCTCAGAATCTTCAATAGCCTCGAAATGTCACGTATAACAGTAACTATACGCACTTTTATTAATACGTTATAACGTGCGCTTTCAAGTAAAATGCTCCATTTACCTTACAGAAATGTGCAACGAATAATTGTATGAAAAATACCATATTTTTCGCATGCTTGCGTATATGTATGGAATACCGCGATAACGCCGACGATAAGTCGACAACGTTGCTTTCTTCGACAGTAAGAGACATCATTTTGCAAGAGGTAAAATGAGTCGAACGAAAATTAAAGACGTATGTCATATATTTAATTGCAGACACTTTTATTAATGAATGTGAATTTCTGTCTCTTTCTTTCTCTTTCCCTCCTTTTCTTTTACCCCCGTTTTCTTACCTGAGTTCATACCTTTCTCGTCCAGGTCAAAGTTCATCTATGTTTGCAAGATGAGGGAGAGGGACAGAGAGAGGGAGAAATAGAAGTAAATTTTACAATTCCTGTCTCCGCGATTAGGTGTTCGATTTTAATGTAAGAAGATCCTTTCAATTCGATTTCAATTTATCCATTAGTTATCGAGAATTCCAACTTTGGGGTGAAACGACGACGTGGGATAAGATAAAATAAGAGAACTCCGACTGAAGGGATGTCGAAGACCGATATTTGCCGATGTATTAAAACACGATCGATCCAAATACCAATTCGCCGCGAAACCCTCGAGTATATAGGGTGCTGAGAAACCACGCGTGCGATGGCTTCGCTTACACTTATATTCCCTTCTCGCCAATTGAATATTGACTTCTGCCGATAAAACCTCCACGTCTCGAACTATCTGTGCTTCTTTTATAATTTCTCAATCCTGAACATCGAATAAGTAGTCTTTAAGCGGGAGCTGCTCGTTAAAATCAAGATATGTTTCATTCCGTTAAACTGTTTTCTGAACCACATTTAAGAGGATGTTTTCGACGCAGACTTCGTTGCGAACGCGTAATCTTCCCTCTGCGACCTGTCCGAAACGACCACCAAACGACACCAAAGCGCATACCCTAAACGAAACGGGGCAGGACACACGCGGTATAAGCGGCGCGTCCTTTTTATTAGTACGGAACAAAGATGCGCTCCCATTTAGTGACGCTGCCGCTGTGGTCCTGGTTGCCAGGGGAACCACGAGCACGCAACGTCGCGACGCCGATGTCTGCGACGATTTTAATCGAGAAAAAAAAAGCGCGATGCCAGGAAAGGAGCAAACGCGACGATTTCCCGTCACGTTTCCACCGTTCCACTGGCAATAAGAAGAACGAAAAAAGAAGAGGACAGAAGGAGATCTTGGCGAGACGATTATCGTCATCGTCCTCGTGAAATAAGCGGAAGTCATTAACGCGCGGCCACGACATCGAAATTCGAACTCGTCGTCGTTGTCGTCGACGACGATCGTCGCATTGAACTCGGTGAGTATGTGTGTGTGCACGGCCGATTTAAATTTCGACGGGCACAGCCTCCCGATAGAGCCTCCACCTCGCCACCCCGTGATCTACGCCACTGTCGGAATACTCGGATTTCACGACATGTTTACAAAGATCCTAGAGATAAGTTGAGAATGGCCGCCGCAGAGCCCCATGCCTCCTCCATGGGTGTAAGGTGACAGCTGCCTGCGCCTGCGTTACATGCACACACAGGGTGTCCCGCGCCGAAAATCATTCATTCGTCATTCGCGTTGGCGCGCGAGGACGAGTTCGAACGGTGGGAATGCCGACTCAATTCGCGCGCGTGCGGAATACCACCGCCACTGCGGAAAGTCGCTCGAGCGATCCCGTCTGCTTGGCCCTGCGAGCCGACGGAGACGTGCTGCTTGTTCGGATCTCTCCTCCTTGACGTTGCCGATGATGACCTCCGTCGCCAATGCGCGCCTCTTTTGATTCTTGTCGGGTCAACGAAAAGAACATCCGACGACCGCAACTCCGATAGCATTTCGCAGATCTGCAAAAGTACACAAATTTAGAAGAATTTTTAGAGATGTATTCCATGAAATTCCGAGTACATAATAAAGTGGATGAGATATGGCTTGTCGACTTTTTCTTATTATTGCACACCTGTTTCTCGTGAAAACTTGTCGGTTACTTCAAAGATTGATACTGCGGAATCAGTTGAAAGAATCAGTTGAATAAAATGAATGTCCCGTTGTTCTTCCAAGTGTCCCCGTTCAAAGTGTTCGTGACTTGATTATATCGTTCCTGAAAGGTTACGAACAGAAGAAGCAACAGAGGCTCTAGGAACCCTTGACGTACCTTGTCCGTCAACAAACTTTGCATCTAATAATTATAATAATCCAATTATTAACAATCATATTTGGAATATTCTATACACTCCCATGAATTTTGTGTTCGCTGATGTATTTTCCTTGAAGTATTGCAGTCAGATATGTGTAAGAAAGCTGACGTGGAAAAGTCGTTAGTTCCATTCTGTCTTGAACAGAGAAAGGACCTCCTTCAACCATCTTACTTCCTACCAGGAATGTTTCTGGGAACACATTTTTCGGTCGGTCACTCGTAAATATCGGTAACCAACGGTCTTTGTTCTTAGCAATGGGACACCCTGTGTATAACGAAGGGAGAACGCACGTCGGTACATACCTACCTACCTACTCACACCGATGTCCTTGTTGCACACATATCCACTCTGTTTCCCCGCGTCCCAACACACCGCGCACATCGGCAAAAGGGAGAGAGATAGATAGATAGATAAATAGAGAGAGATATATCTCGCTTACTTAGCTCGGCCCGAAACTCACCCGCAGGACCTCCGCACATGTGTGTGCATTTACCTTTGCAGGAATGTACTTTAGGTACGTGTCACGTGTTCGGTGCGAAAAGCGCGCGTTAACTGCAACGCTTTAAGAGCGGGCGTCCAGCTCGCCGGCGTCTAATCGCGAATTCATCCTGAAATCCTGTGGAGTAACACGCTTGCCCTTTACCTTTGCCAAGTGGACTGCCAAGTGGAGGTCCAGCAAGCCATGAGAGACACCCCTTCGCCGTGTCATTACCGTCACCCTTCTTTACGAGTTTTCCAATCGATAAATGCGCCCGCCTCACGGATCTTCCTCGGATCTCCATCGACCGACGTTTGTATACATCTGCCTGTTGATCATTGACGGCTAAGGAGGATCGATAGTTGCTTTCGGCAACACCCCAATTATTATCCGGCATATACAACCCGGCTTCGTCCTGATGAACTCCAGTGACACCGTATGTACCTCTACATCTCCGCACTTTTCCTAGAGCGCTCGTCTATACGTGATGTACCTGGGTGGTCGTTACACTACGTATATATACATTTGCGTTATGTATGTGTACACTGTTCATACGTGCACGTGGGTAGACCACAAGCTTCCCGCATACTTCGTAAGACTCAACCGAACTTGCTCGCCCTCGCTCTCTCTCTCTCTCTTTGTCTTGCTCTCTCGCGGTCTCCGCGCCGGTGTCGGATTTGTCTGCGCACACGAGAGCAAGTATATACGCCGCTTCTCGCGGCGCGAGCTCCATGCCATTATATCATAAAGGTACCAACCACCATTCCGCCATCTCTCCTCCGCTCGGCGGCGGTGGGTCGGCCGACCCACAGGATGTCGACGCCATGTCTGCCTCGAGACAGGCGCACCTACCTCTCCTTATCACCCGCCTTACGTCGTCTTACGTCTTGCGCGACTCCCCCGGGAGGCGCAATGACATCCGCGCCACGTAACGATATTTCCGATATTTCTCTTGCGAACGGCGTATCGTGTTTGTCTCCCAGGGTTACTACGAGTCGCAAGCTCCCGCGAGGAAAAGCGTGTTGAATTTGATTCCTGCGGCCGGCTGATGGTAGACAATAGTACGGGCACTCTCGTGGAAATTCCGTATTCTGAAGCTGTTGCTGCTCAAATTTAGAAAAACACATGATTCAAATACGCAAAGTATTTCATGTTGAAATACGTGAACGTCTGTGTCTTCTTAGACTTTCACGTGAAGAATAGGAAAGTACAATTTTTCAGTAGACTCACTAGAATAGTCCACTGTTTCTGTGGGTCGATGATGTCGCTCTTTAGAATACAGAATACGCACTGCATACGTGAAACAAATGGACAGCACTGCAATGAGACCTGAACGCAGCTGTCAAAGAGATAAATGGAGATCGCCGATCTTCTCTATAAATCCGAAGAGGATCCCGTTGTCCGATGCACCGTGAAAACACAAAAACTGGATTATCCGACCCCTCGCGTTTGCTTACCTATTATGTAAAAGCATTATACTCTTTGTCATTCGTCACAAAGCCTCGATAAAGATGATCGTGCATCCTGAATTTTCGCCGTAACAGTGTGAACGGGGATTCACTCGTCGATGGGAACGACTTTCCTGAAAATCGTACACGCTAGCGAAAAACAGATAGAAAATGCTCGTGTTGTCGCAGGAGAAACTTTGTGCACAAAAGGCAATATATATGCCTGCTATGCATTTTGTTTAAACACTTTTCTTCGATATATTTCAAAACGTAGTCGACAACCCAATGATAAAACTACTAATTTCTACAAATTCTCTCATTGAACCATCGATTGCGTTTTAAAATGAGCAATACATGAGCAACTGCACGAGGAGCAACAAAAGATATCGATTGTAGACAGAAGAGATCGCTCAGGACGCGAAAGTTTCTCGAGATGCTTTTATGGTAACGTTAGCGAGACTTTTAACGAAATTTGAGAGTCCATCAGGCTGGCTAGGAAACGTACAATGGATGTTGGTACAAGACGTAGAAAATTACATTGCCGCTCGTGTTGTTGCTCATTCTCGTCAGCTCGTTCTTGAAAAATGTAGACTCACTCTCCCTCTTGTAACCTTGTAGTTACATTAGCCGCAAAGAGGCCGAGCCGAAAACGCGTTGGCCAAATGTAATTTGTCCTGAAAAAAAGATACCGCGGTGAAACGGGTAAATAATCGCGAGCCTAGTCGCAATTGCGAACGTTTGGAATTCAATCTCAATGCGCGATATATTTCACTCGGTTTAACAATAAATTTTCACCACGCCGAATTTTCTGAGTTCTCAGGGACGAAGGGAGCCGCACGCTAATTTCCCCGCGAGTGGCCGTCCTTCGCCCTCCATTATTTCACTCACGACGTAGACTCTAATTTATTTTGTCACGCGGTGACAGAGGAAGCGAATATCTCGCGACGCTTTTATCGCGCCGTAATCGATAAAACGAGAAAAAAGGACGCGGGAACATTCTCGCCTTCCAGGAACCCACCGAGTATGACGTAGTGCTGGTGCGGACCTCCCGTCAAGAATTCCTCTATAATAAAAAAAGATGGAAAAAACCTGAAAGGCTGGCAAGCGCAAAACAAACGAGGAGACTTGACGGCCGGCGAATTCGGGAACCCGTTCAAGAGAGAGAGCGCGATTCCTTTCGATTCTTCGACGTTAATTTCTCGCTAGTCGTCCTCACACCGAGCTGAATCCGTATCGACGTAACTCGATGTTGAACCTGCAAACATAGAACGCAAAAAATAATAAAAATAGAAATGAACACACAGTGAGCGCGTAGTCCGGCCGACAATTGAATACGTACGTGTGAAAAACGCGCGTCACCTTTCTTCTGTCTTTGCGTAGCCGATTTGTCGGGTCCTGAGAAACACGTATTCTACGATCCTTATCAAGATCACCCATAGATCCCTTTAATCGTTGTCCCACGTTTCTCCTGGTGATTCTGAAAAACCTGTCTCGTCGCGGAGACAGAGAGGAGAAGAGAGAGAAACGTCATTGCCGAGCGATTCGTACAAACGAACGGTGACAGGAGGTGACAATTATTCGACCGGGTTGGACGGCGGGGTTGAGGTTGAAGTTCGAAAGGAGTAGACTGTCTTCCTCCCTCGTGCGCGAGCAGCTCAGCAGCCACTGTTCTCCCTCTTTCTCGTCTTCATCGTCGTCTACCTCTCTCCTTTCTTATCTTTCGCGCCATCACTCACCACACGTTATGGCTCGTTAGTCCCTCTCACTCTAATTAACGAACGACCTGTGCGCGCCCGCCAGTGAGAGGCGAAGGACGGAGTTTGAGCAGGGTAGAGGGTAAGTGAGAAAGAAGTATTCAATTGCAATTCTAAATTCAATGAAGATACAGATACGCGTGGTCAGGCGATTGCTTATGCGGTTGCGAAATTACACAAATGAAATATTTTGCCATAAACATTATATATAATATATTGGTATCACAATTTCTCTAATGTACCATGACACGTGTAAGAGGAAAAGGAGGAAAAGGACAAAGAAAGAGAGAACAATCACTCGTTCCGGAGCAAGCTCCGTCGGAGAAAAGATGCAGATGATGCGAACGTGTGCAACGTGTGCGAGCGTGTGCGACAAGCAAATTTTGGGAAAAACGAGACAGAAGGAGGGGAAGAAAGAGAAAGAGAAAAAAAGAGCGGCAGTTTTGATGACAACAAGGACAACGAGAGAGCGCGGAACAAAGAGGCGAGAGAAGACGAGACGAGACGAGAAGAGAGACAGAGAGAGAGAAAGGTATAGGGGAAGGGAGATAGGACGGAGAGGAGCCGAACGAGCCAGAGCCGAACGAACGCGACCACGTGACCATCGGGCGGGGGTGGCAGGCGACATTTCGCATGCTCAGAACTCCACTGGCCGCGGCGTATCGCACACGGCGGTGCCCCACGATACACCTCCGCGACACAACACTAGCCGGCGAGAAACGATGGTAGCGAGTCGTTCGTGAAGGTAGAGCGAGAGATTCGACGACGAGGAGGCGGCGCGACCTGGCCAAGTCGGCGTAAGAGCGCTGTTACAAACGCGAGTCGGTGGCGCGCGGTCGCAAGGGGTGGATTCGCAGAGTACTCCTCTCTCCGGGTGCGCGCTAGGACTCTGCGAACGGTGTGTCCCGTTCGCGCGAACCATCTCGGGCGGGACGTTGTCCTGCGGGAGAGATCCGATCTGAGACATCTCGAAGTTGCTTCGACGACGTCCTCGGGTCCCGTTCGCGAAGATCCCGAAAGTCTCGAGAGGCGATCGACGAGATATCAGAGAGATACCATTTCGCGTCACCGCATCATCATCATCGGCGCGACCAAGTGTTTCGTTTCTGTCTCTCTTTCGCTCTCCTTCTCTCTCTCTCTTGCGTGTGTGTGTATGTGTGCGTGCGTGCGCGTGCGTGTATGTGTGCGTGCGTGTATACGCCGGGCGGTGCGCGAAACGTAACGTGAGCATATCGCGAGACAAGAGTGGCGATCGGTGAGTAGGTAGGTAACTGCGATGATGTTCCCGTGGTCGTGGAAAGTGCGAGAAAAGTGACAGACCGAGAGGAAAGCCTGGGGAGTCGACGGAGACGTTGTTGCACTGCGAGGCTGAAGAGGCGTGGATCGCGACGCATTTTTACGCGGCGCGTAATTCACGCATATACGCACACGATCGCGCGCGCGCGCGTACGCACGCACGCTCGTGTTACGCGCTCCGGGATAACGATGCTGTTGTCAGGAGGGAATCACCCATAGCTCCCTTGAACGTTGCTACGTCGGAGCAGCCTGTTTCGAGAGTCTGGAGCCAGCGACGGGACGCAAGGTTTGATGAACGTTGTTTGATTAGACTTGAGACGTGGAGGGTTTCCCCGTTTTTCCCCCGAGCTCTCCTCGAGCGGCGGAGGGTTTCGTGAGGGGTTGATGACGCGTGGCGAATCGGGATTTGTTGTGCTGTTCGGTCGTGTCGCGTGTATCGCACGAAACTCGTGAATTATATGATTTTTCGGAACGCAGCGGCCAGACTTCCTGTGAAAATTAACAAAGTTTAGAGAGAATCATAGAAATGTCGAATAAAAAGAAAGATCTGCGAATATAATACAGTTTGTTTGCATATAACGACAATTTGCAAAAAGACCCGTTAACATTTCTTCACCTTTCATCAAATTGATTTGTCAATCTGTGGTCGTTCAGGAGCTCCTGCGCAATTCGACGAGTGCTTATTAACTCTGAAAATCTTGAGTCCCTTTTTCTTTGCAGTATCATCGTGCGTGTAATTAGAACTCAAATACGATCTATTTTTGGAATAATTACCGCTGGTGTTTTGCTAATTGATCCACTTTTCTAGGAAAGCCCTTAGAAATTATATTCTTGCGACTGAAAATTATATATTCAATTAAAATTATTTTTCGTATATTAAAAATTGTTATATTTCTTATAGTTTGATCTTTCTGCGTTAACGGAGTGAACGACAAATTGATAAATATTAATGCGATAAGATTCGCCCAAGAGAGCAAGCACGTGGAGACGTGGAGGCTTCGCGTGTGCGCGTTTTTCTCGAAACTGCTAAATAGACGAGAGAGCCGCGGACGCGGCAGTTAGTTACGCGGATGTCGCACTCGCACGCACGCGCGCACACATACACACGCGCTCGCGCGCGTAAACGTCATTATCAATTGAGCATGCGTAACTTATGCATCTCATTCGGCTTGTTACCAGTAATGTATTTTAATTGGCTGAGCGTTGTGTGGTAGTATCAGACAATATATTCCGTCCGAAAAGTGTTGTTGCGCTGTTTATAACGCGATGGATCTCGGAAATATTGCATATATAATCTCTAACGATATCTGATGTCCCGTAAGGTAAAAGTACCAATTCCCGGACATTCCTGGACATTCTTGAATTCTTTTTTCTACACAGTACATATCTGTGCGTGTAATTAGAGCTTAGCTTTGATTCATTTTTGGAATAATTCCCGCTGGTACTTTGCTAATTAATTTCCACTTTCCTGGAAAAAATCGCCCTTATAAGTTATTATTCTCATAATTTAAAATTATATATTTAATTAAAATTATACATCTCGTGTATTAAGAAGTCATATATTTTTCATAATTTGATTTTCCCACGTTAACGGAACGAACTTATTGATTTGGTGTTTAAATATCAATATTTAAACTTTCAACGTAGAAAATATGAATATACTCAATACCTGTACGTATATTTTTTATGTTAAAAGTTTAAATATTTATATTTATAAAACAAAAAGAAAATGTCCAGGATTAGGTACATGTCTGTGTGTGTGTGTGTGTTGTGTGGGAATAGGTACTTTTACCTTAATATATTTCACATAACAACTTGATCAAACTCCTATGTAAATTTTGCAGCAACTCTACTAGTCGATTTATCCCTCATGTGCATCCCTCATGTGTGGTTCATACACTCATATTTATCACACAGAATAATGAAGTTTAAATACAAAAGAAATACGGAAAAATTTATGAAAATTTGCTCAAAATAATGTCGTGTAAAATGTGATGTAAAAATGCGAGTTTAACTTTCAGTAAATTTGTTTCACCAATACAAAAGATTTACATTATCATATATTATAAATGTAATAAGTTCGATATAAGATGTTTGCTTCGTACATGTAATTACAGGAATTGCAAAATTCCCATCACTGATCGTGTCTCACGTCATGATAATCAATCGAAAGTCTATCTGGGCCAGGAAAATTACGACGAAATTGCACGTGATGTAGATGGTGCGTAAACGAACGGTCAAATTTACGCGTTTTCATTTTGCACGATACACGTCATGGCCTCGAGTTAGTTTCCTTATAGCGTTAAAAAAAACTCGTGAATGTGCTACATTTACATACCTTGAATAACCTTTTATTTTTGAACGGTCATGTCCCCGCGAAATCGCTTTAACTCATCATAAGCTATCGGTAACTTTAATGATTGCACGTCTTCGCGCTCCGCGCGGCAAGTGTTGACTTGTCCTAAAATTACTTAACTAGTCGAAGACGTAAATTCCGTGATAAGATGCGCTGGGGAAGATGTAGTGCTCAGGCAACGCATTTCTCCGCAGTCGTGTTCAGTAATGATTACTTCAGCTCGAATACAAAGACTTGTTTCGCGGTCTTCGATTGGAGGGTGCCGATCGTTGGGGCGCACCTAAAGTAAAGCGAAGTAAAACGAGTAAAGCGAACAGCACAAATAGAGACATTCAAGCAGTAAACTAATTAGCCAATCACATTCGAGAATTATCGGGAACGTGAGATTTGATCGTATTGAAATTCTCTTTGTGGTTGATCGTTTCGCTCGCTGCTTAAAGGCTTAAATCTTGATAAGCTTGCTATGCATAAGGAAATCGACTAATTACGTCTAATTACGTCTAGCGCAAAGAACATCCTTATATTATAAATATGCAATTATGCGAGTTTCTGGATAAGTTTTTAGTCTTCCTACTTGTGTTTTCTGCTTGCCCTAAGAATGTCGCGAGATATTTTTAGGTGCTTCTCTTTTTCTCGATAGAAATGTATTGATTCATATTTTTGTGATTCATATTCATATTCTGTATTGATTCATAGTCTTGTGATTTAGGCCCGATTTCACCAACATCGATTGGGCCTTGATCTGAGTTTAAGTCTTTGTTTCAAATAGTTTAAATGTGATTTAAGGCTTGATCGACGTTGGTGAAATTGGACCTTACAATTTCATTGATCAGCATCTACTGAGTTCGCTTTTGTGATTTTTACCACGTTGTGTTGTTAACGCACAGTCGACCCCTGCTGAAAAGGACAGACATGACATTTCCGTGTCGGTCTTCTTGTAGTTCGTGCAACATATGCACAAGATATACGCGAGATTCTGATGGGCCCACACATATATCACGGGAGTAACGACAAGTCGAGTATCCCTAAGGGTCGGTTCGACTGGAAAAACAATCTTTCCGAAAGAAAGACGTTGGGAACTATCGTTACCTTTCTCACGCGCCGGCACTCGGCTAGATGGGTTCGGACAAAAAGCTTTTGTCTCGACGAACTGTAGCGATCCGCGCTTGCTTTTCCTTTTTTTTTAGGCCGCGATGTAAACCGGCCAATTAAATGAACTTAGCGGGAGTTTCACGAGTAGGAGTTGCAGGCCGACGACGCGTTTTTTTTCTCTCTCTCTCTCTTTTCCTCCTATTTCGCTGCATTTCGCTTTCCTGACGGTTGACGGACAGTTTAGCCAGACAGCAAGCTAAGCAACTCATCCGTGATAAACACTTCGGCGCGGGCTTTTGTTTAGATAAGCAGAGTGCCTTTCATCTCACATGACCGTGCACCACGCGAGAGGACCGGCCGGAGATAAATCGCGGCTGCGTATACAGGGTGACAACAAATTTGCACCATACCATGATGACACTCTTCAGTACAGTCGGTTGATTCAGCCCGCGTCTACGACAGGTGCAATAAGACCCGTATTCTGAGTTCTCTTTTAACGATAAAAAAGGTTTAGGAGCCACCTGATTGGCTGAGAAGCTACATTTAAGGCACTTTTATCGATAAAAGAGGATTCAAAATATGAGTCTAAGTCTTTAGCTTTATGCTTTAAAGCCTATAATTTCTGGCGAAAAACATTTTAACGATTTGAGTTTAGCCAACATGTTTAAGGCTTGGGGATTATGACTTCAGGCAGTACTTCAGTTTGTAGTTGAAAATTATAGTTTTGGACTTAGAGTAATAAGGCTAAAGGCTAAACTATTATAGATCCGGACTAAAGGTTGCAACACTTTCTCTCGATGAGTCTCGTAACGTATCCTGTATCCAATAAAAGAATTTGGTTTTTGATAATTCCGAGAGGATAGATTCTCTTATTGAATGCCGAATACTCAATGCAAAACTCATTGAGGAAAAGTGTTGTTATACTTAGAGCCGGTTTTTCAATAGCAGTTTAAACTTGGATTCAAATTTAAACTCTATTCTAACAATGCGTTTGTTTTGTTTAAACAGAGTTTAAGTTGAAATCTAAGTTTAAACTATCATTGAAAGTGACCGGTAAATCAGCCGACTGTACAGTCAGTGCAAGAAAGTTACATTCACACTTCGATCAACTTTAGAGCGCGTATCCGATATACAATAGGAAAATTTATCTTTAAATCGTTGGAAAATAAGTTCCCTTATTGGGCGCGGTTGCGTTGCGAATGTCATTGAAAGAAGTGTTGCAATTTTTTTAATACTAACTATGCAAATCTCGATTCAGAAGGAAGACTTGAAGTTTGCTGACAAACGACGATAGCTTGTTCGAGATCGTGCGGGAACAATTTAAGTGGGCGATGTACCCTTTGCCTTTGGCGAAAATTACAATTCCGATGAGATTACACGGAAAATCCGCGCGAATGATCGTTTATCCACGATGAAATTGAAATTCCTCGGACAGACGAGAATCTTTGGATGGTAACGAAAGGTTATAGAGTGAGTAGAACGATGAGAGAAATGTGCGAATGTCCCGATCGAAACGAATGGAACGCGAGTTAATTCGCGCGCTTTCGAAGCGTTAATTAACGTTGAACGTCACTCGAAGAGGAACGCGATTTTGAGTCTCGGTTACCGAGAGAGAACGAGAGAAAGAGAGAGAAATATCCGATTATCGAATATCGGAGAATCGCGGACGCGGAACGCGAGGTCGCACTTTCGTGTGCGTCAAGCGCGGAGAAGCCGATGCTAAATTATCCGATCGACATCGGCACTGATTACATTGAGTGCGAAGAGATTCTTGGTGCAAAAGGTACCCATTTCGCCATGCACGTAAATCCTAGTCTAAAATAGATGTAATAAGGCTTTAGCTTTATGCTCCAAGACCTATAATATCTGACAAAAAGCGTTTTCCGCACTGCTTTAACAATTGGAATCTGCCATCTCGCTTAAAGCTTGGGGATTATGACTTTAGGCAATAGTGGAAAACATTTGCAATCGAATCATAGATTTGCAATCGAAAATTATACAGTTTTGGACTAAAAGCATAAGGCTACAGATTTCCCAATAAATACAATGTTATATGTAACATACCTAAGTTGTAATTTCTTACTTAATAATATAACTGTTATATAACACGTGTAGGGAATTACAGCTATATAACAGTTATATTACATATAACATTATGTTTACTGAATTATTACACTTATTGTAGATCCAGACAAAAATTCGCTGACACACGTAAAGATTGGTCAACTTTATTTTTTTTACAAGTTTAGGAACCTGCCTATCTTGTGCAATGAGAAAGTTATTCTGTTGGAAAATAAATTCTTCTATTGTGTGTGTGTGTGTGTGTGTGTGTGTGTGTGTGTGTGTGTGTGTGTGTGTGTGTGAAGAGAAAGAGAGACAAGGACGGACAAGGTTCTTAAATATACAAAAAGGAGCCAGATGACCTTTCCATTGGCGAATATATACATGCGTACACGTGATACGATTTGATAATATAAATGGTGAATAATATAGAAAATCTTTGTTGATCTAGAAGTGACATAAGAAGAAATAAATTTATCAATATTCGTTGACGAAGGTAAACAAATCTCGTATCTTTGCATTAGGCAGTTATCTGTAAAATCGAACGCGAGAATAAAAAGCATATATTGCAAATTCCTATTGGTAATTCCTGTTAGGATTCCCGATGCAAAAGTCAAATAAGATAGGCTCTTAAGTAATTTGGCGAATTGACTGTTTAACTTGACTGAATAACTTTAATTGTTCTTCAATTTGGAAATGACTTAGTAACCAAGCAAGTGATTGTGCTGGAGAAAATTTTACCGGCGTCAGTTGAAAGTTTTTGATGAAATATATCGCTTTTATACAGTCATTTTTTAAATGGGGAATCAAAGAGTTATTATCGTCTCATAGTTTGTTACGTTCGATGGGGGCAAGAATGATCTTTGTAATAATTGAGTATATAGATCTTTGTAATATTTGAGAGAAGAATCCTAAAATTTTCGATACTTCTCAGTCGATTGTAATTACTGAATATTCAAACTAACACAAGAATTATCGTATTTGTGAGGAACAGTGGTCACATGAAAAAAAGCAAAGTTAACCCATATATAAGTCTGGTTGTGTCAAAGAGATTCAATATTAAATTTGGTGAACTAACCGTACTGCTTTTCCCGTGCAGGATTTAATTACCAGAACTGGTCCTCTTCTACTCTCGCTCGTTGTCTGGTTTCTATCCCATATAAATATTTACATATATCTAACGGGCATACTGAGACTCTTTTTCTCCTGATTTAGCAAGATGCCTCTATAGTTCTCACGTGGCATCTTACAATAATGTAAAGCGTAGTGAAAGGAGGCTCCATTGGCTGGTTTCGGTTCTTCGCGGTGTACGCCTACCCAGCCAGTCACTCCACCTCTTCGACACGCAATTGGCAGACAATAATGAAGTTCACACGCGAGCGACCCTCGCCTCGCAGGTGCAGCCTTCTTCCGCTCGCGAAATCGCCGGCTGAAACGGCGATCGTTCGACGCGCCTTGTCATTACATCAGAGAATCGTCTCATAATTAAGCATAACAATTGATTAATAATTACCTCACGAATTCGCCGTTTGCTTTTGTCTGCAGGCTCTTCGATCGCCCGAAAGACGTCGGTCCTTTTTCAATTGCGAGTTTCTACTTTTTCTTTATGTCTTTGCTTTACGTTCCTCTATTCTATGATGCTTCTATGAGCGCGGAGGCGCAGGTGAATTGGTGATTTATATCGTTGCAGATAGAGTGATATGTTAACCGAAGACAATGATCCGACAAAACCAGCAGGGGTTTTAGACAATGCTGGCAACGTGTCTTCCTCGACAGAAGCCTCGGTACAGCATCCTCGCGCCGCAAACAATGGTAGATAGAGGATCTAACTGGCATTGGCGTAGAGGTAGATGCGCCGCTCGATGATCAGATGTATTTGCTCAGATATTATTACACAGCTCTTGATGCACCGTCGATAAGGTTTGAATTAACGAATGCCGTTAAAACTACGTAAAAGGTGCATTATTAACGACGATACCTAAGAAAAAAAGCAAGAAAGGAGATGGTCAACGGAAAGATCGTGGGTTCATCAGTGAATGATCGTTTACCGGCGCAACTACCTCGCCATAACAAGTTCAACCGACTTGCGTTTCATTAGAATTGTTAACAAAGATGTTTTCATTTCCATGTTTTTCCATCGTCGATCTCTCGAGAGCGATCAAGAGAGACAGAGAGATTGATATCGCTTCAAATTTTTCATACAAAACGCAAAACATTTACTTACAAGCTACTCATCCGCTCATTTTCACATTGTCAGAAACCGAAGTTAAGAACGAGGTGCAGGACTGTCCTGAGACCGACAGTGTGCCCGGCGGCGAGCTGTATATCGATGAGAATGCCGAGGAGAAAGAGCAGGAGTATCCGGATTCGATGGAGAAGGCGGATTACGGATCCCTGTACGGTGCCAATCAATATTATAACAGGTATATATAAGATGAACATCAATACAATCAAGAAACTCATCATCGTCTAATTATCGTCCCAGTACACTGTGAAAAAATATTTGAAAATTTATTTGGAGGATATAAAATTTATTTCTGCGGAATAAATCCGTAAAAAACAAGAAAAAAAGGTCCTACTTTATTTTAAAATAAATTTTCAAATATCTTCTTCTCAGTTTAGTCGTATAAGGTACATGCGCGATCATAAAACTCGTCGCTCATTGTCCGTTTCTTACCGCTTTTCTTTCTTCTTCCCTTCTCTCTTCGTGGAAGTCTCTACAACTCGCCGCCTTATGGATCCACGACGGTCTCGAAATCCGCATCGGGTTTGCAGAGCTCATATCTAAGCTCCTACACGTCATCGAGCTCGATGACGCAGTACCCGTCCTACGCCGGCTACAATAGCGGGGCGACGACTTTCCCGAACGTGGCGCAGAATATGTCACCGGCTTCACAGGTGGTACAAAATCTAGAGTGCACCACGCTCTAGATTATGTTTCTTTTCACTTGGTGAAACTTGATTTAATTTTTCCTCGATTCTTCCACACAAAACGATCCTATTTTCTCCTGTTTGTCCACAGAAATTGGACTATAGCGCCTACAGCAGCAGTCTATACGGGAACGACAGGGTGCCTCTTCAATATTCCGGCTACTATCCTATGCCTGGTTATCATGCGCCGCCTACTTCCTTCAACATCAGCAACATTAACTTTGCCGGTAATCGTCCGCTGTTAGATCAGATGTTTTCATTATTCTTTTCGAGCAAGCGAGTCACGATCAAGACGAACGTCTTGCGAATGATTTGCGCGCTTAATCGTAATCAAAACCATTGCGATTAATTACGTCGTGTTTCATGTGCACAAGAAGACTCGACCAAGTCCGCGCTCACATTGGACCCGACCACGCACGATGCGAGCGATCTGACCGCACGAGAAACCGCAAACATCGAAGGTATAACACCCGATACGTATCTCTTACTTTGCCGTAACTGTGCGTTTTGCGGGAATCGATCGGGCGGCGTTACCGCAGTTTCGGAAATACGGACGAATCTAGCCATTAAAGAGCTTGCTCTAAATCGAAAAAGAAATGGTAATAGTAAATCTAATTCTACACGTGATGACGTATTTCCGAGAAGCAATTACGTCTAAATATGTATCCTTGCGACTTGTAAATTGACGAGGCGATAACTTTTCACGAAACTTACAGTGGCGACGACGAAGCCATGCAGGCGCGGCAGAAGGCAGAGCGGAAGCGGGAACAGTATCGGTTCTGCAGACACGACGGAGGCCGGGCCTGATCGTATATTCATTTGGGACCTTGATGAGACTATCGTTATATTCCACTCCTTGCTAACCGGACAATTCGCCACGAAGCACCGCAAAGATCCTACCCCTCTGGCTCAAGTGGCATACAGAATGGAGGAGATGATATTCAACTTGGCGGACACGCACTTCTTCTTCAGTGACATCGAGGTGATAGGAGTCTTCTCCAGCCGCATACCAACTCCAAGCGATTATTTGTGCCGTTTCATGACTATTTTCACGGACGACTGTCGCCATATGCTCTGAGAAAAGAATATTTGAACATTTATTTGTGGGATATAAAGTTTATCTCTGTGAAATAAAGTCTACTTCTGTGGGATAAACTTTTATCCAACAAATTTTCACATTTTGTTCCCTCTTGTGGTCATATTTCTCACGTGGCCGAATATCTGGCTCGGAACACACGTCAGGGATTCTTGAATATTTCCTTTGAAAATTTCCAAAGTTCAAACGGGTTGTATTCAGCTCAAGTATCTTGTTATGTTCTTCTCCTCAGCGAAGTATATCATAATTGATATCTTCTTTCATAGGACTGTGATCAAGTGCACATAGATGACGTCGCGTCGGACGACAACGGACAGGACTTGTCGTCCTACAACTTCGCGACCGACGGCTTCCAGTGCGCGTCCACCAACAACGGGATATGCCTAACTTCCGGCGTGCGCGGTGGCGTCGATTGGATGAGGAAGCTGGCGTTCCGTTATCGCAAGATCAAGGAGATCTACTGCAACTATCGCAACAACGTAGGCGGTCTCCTGGGCACGGCAAAACGCGAGCAGTGGCTCCAGCTGCGCTCCGAGATCGAGGCGTTGACCGACAACTGGTTGACATCGGCGGTCAAGTGTCTGAGTCTCATCAACAAGAGAAGCCACTGCATCAATATCCTGGTGACGACCTCGCAGCTCGTTCCCACACTCTCCAAAGTCTTGCTCTTCGGCATCGGTGGAATATTCCCCATAGAGAATATATATTCCGCCACCAAAATTGGTAATTACACAGCGAGATGTACGAAAAATTATAATTGATCCCGTCGGCGGGCGTCGGAAGGCGGAAACTATACATACGTACATAGATATATAGCTAACGATGGAAAATGATCAAATTTATGCTACAAGAAGTAGACAGAGAGAGTATTATAATTCTTCTTTTTAATTCTTTATAATTTTACTGTGTTTTAATAGTCCAGGGATAGACTGTTAGTAAGGTTGATTTTGCTAAGGGACGTAGTAAATCTCGTTAGAGACATAGCAGATTTCGTTAGAAACATAACAAGTGTTTTAATAGCACTTTGCAGCTCCTAAAACACAAATAGCACATATGCAATGAAAGGATTGTAAATTATTGCAGAATGTCAATCTATCGCTTGGTTACAAAATTATATAATAATTTTTACTACAAAATTTTTCACGTAGAATTGTCAATTTGTATTTTATATAATAAATGTATCTATAATTAAAAAAAAAGAGAAAATGATATAATGCAGGATATATTTCATTTTGAGATAAAAATCTGATCATTTTCTACCTTTATACAAATAAATATAGAGTTACTACTAAAATAACGCTATTGTTTCAGGAAAAGAAAATTGTTTCGGGAGGGTGGTAGCACGATTCGGCCGCAGGTGTACGTATGTAGTGATAGGCGACGATTCAGACGAGGAGAACGCGGCACGGGCGCACAACTTTCCTTTCTGGAGGATAAACAGCCTCTCGGACACGCAAGCTCTGTACAATGCCTTAGAAATGGGATTTCTTTAATCAAAATATGGTTGATCTGCGACACTGGGAAATGTTATACGTTCGGCGCACGGATAATTATACGGCACGCTCGGCATTTCCGTACAATCGTGCAAGCGGGGAGAACCAGTGACGGAAGCATGCTTAACTCTCTGGGAGAAGCTCTTATCATTCCTATAACTTATCGTGTATAATATACGTAAACAAACGGACGGTCGACATCTCCGTATCTGTCACGTATATGGCTACATTCGCCGATGATCAGATATTTTATGAGCTCGGTCGGACACGGTCTCTCTGTCCGTAAGTGATATAGAATGAAGGTAAGACTTAAGTGATAATAAACACAAAGAGAAAATCGGGAAGAGCTAAAAGTTTATGTATAATAAGATTTTTTGGATGGCTCTCTAGCCTATCTTAGTCACGTGTACTATACTAAACTGAAATGGAATCTGTGAAAAGGATATATACCGGGTGAATCAACAGAAACAGAGCTTAATTGAGTAATTGTTCTAGATTCGAAGATTCACTCTGTATGCACATACACCTTTCGTGTACTTAAACGCACTACATTTGCATACTTTTACTTCCGACGACGGTAAAATCAAACGATTTTTACTAATGTATTTACTAAACGATAAAACGGGTTTTATAGGTGCGACGATTATAATTTTCCATTGCTATGTTTCAAGCAGCTTATTCGCCGGAATTACCGGAATTCATGTTTGTTTTCTACAATCCTAGTATTATAGTTGGCGTTCGCTTCTTATGTTACTTTCATGTGCAAATTTATCGCGAGAAATTAATCGCGGTTAGTTACAATTTCATCGATCGTCTTAATATCTTTGTTCGTCATGCTACATGTATCTTCACATTCCTTTAGTCCTTATGTCGCAAATATAGTTATAAGCAGTATTATGTATATTTTGAAAGTATCTATCATATCAATCACACATTACCATGACACACCTTACCGGACACAAATGTGTGTGCATTAGGAGTATTTATATATTTGTAAAGATACTATAGTTATATATATATATATATATATATATATATATATATATATACATATATATATATATATATATATACATATATATATATGACCGTATTTTGAAATTGTACAAGGACATTTGACAAACTCCCGAGGAATGCATTAATTAATATAATAAAGAAAACGAATTAGAGTATAGTTGGTGATTGCAGTTGACATCGTTATGTGTAAAAACAGTTTATAAAAATTTTCTGAATATATCGTATTATTCGTTAAAGCAAAGATATTAATAAAAAATATAATTGAAAATATGTAAAATATACCGTTTGTGTCTCGAAAGACTGGCATCGTGCAAAGATGAAAGTAACTTAATATTGTCCTTTACTTTAGTAAGAAAATTATATGTGTATCAAATTTACAAATTAAATTATATGACACTAATTTAATATCAGCTTGTTCTCGAGATAAATTAATGTTCTACGAGATTTTTGTTTTTACTTGAAATATATATATATATATATACACGCCTACATCAATTCCACAAATAATTAAGCTTGCCTCACTTATTACTCTTTACTATACCAAACTTTAATAATATAATTTCGTTCATACTTTTTTGCAAAATTGTTTATTTTATCTTTCCAAATAATCATCTTTTAATACTAATAAAAAAAACCGTATTCAACGAATGCTTCTATTAATTACAAAATGTTTTATTTTCCTTTGTAACACATAGCAAGTATAATCTCCAACAATTTTATTTATAGAGCTCATGTCGTTCATCGTAAAAAAAAAAGATAAAATTAAAATATTAAAAAAATTTTTTTAAATGTCTAAAATATATTTGATACTTTGCGCAATCTTCATTAATTGAATACTAGAGAGCCTCAAATAATGAACGACTAGGGAGCTCTTAGGAATAGGAATATTCTTACATAGTAACGTATGTAGGAGCGAGAAGAATACCACAATTGTCATCCTTCTGCGCCATGAGAATATAGCCATCGTTGCCCCAATAATTTGACCAGGAATTCTTCACCAACCAATAGTCTTTTCCATTTATAGTGCCATAACCAACGGCCAAAACGGCATGGTCCAATTTGTCTTCAGTATTACCTAAAACACCAAGAACATGAGAATTGTACACGCTAACAAACTTATACCTGTACACAATAATGGAAGCTAATGAATGTTCAACGCAAATTTACCACAAGCTTGGTCATAATACACTCCGTGAGAGTAGAAAGAGAATGTCTTGTGGGAAGCATCGATAGCAACGGAGATGGGGCCATGTTTGGCGATGGCGATTTTCAGAGCTTCTATATTGAGTGGAGTAACGTTAACGTAACCCGTGATTTTGGCTGTAGCCGTTACGTTACTTATATGGCAATATCCATCCTAAAAGAGAAATATTCTTTAATCTCTTTTACATATTCCATACATTATATTAGCGCGATCCGATGATATTTGCATCAATTGATTGTTCTAAGTGATTCACCTGTCCCAAGTAACCACCATAATCTTCCTCAGTAGGTAAACCACCATGCTTCATGATCCACTGGTATGCACGGAAATCCTCTCCACCGTCGCATCCATTATTTCCATAACCCCACGAACAATCAATGAGAGCCTGCGTTTTATTAATACTTCAATATATTATTATTTGCAATATTGTAACAATATATAAATTTGAGTCAAACTAAAGTTAGTAATCAATAGGATAATATATAATAATATACGATTCTCTTTCTTGTATTTTACACGATTTTTTTTACCTGTTGAGATAAGCGCACCAATTTATTGTACTTCATGTAATATGCACCTTCTACTGCTCCGGTGGTACCAAAACTCCAACAAGAGCCGCAAACGGATTGATCTGTAAATAATGTGTGTTAATGAATATATATAATTTGTACATAACATTAAAATGTATTGAAATTATGAACCTTTAACTGGCGTCACAGCACCGTACAATCTCCAATCTATACTATCAGGAATATCTGCAATCTCTTTTTTGATATCGTGCGGGAACAATGCTCCGCCTTTGTAACCTTTGGTATATTGTTTCCCTCGTAAAGCCCTCAATTCGAGATCAGTACGATCTACTAAGTGATTCACGGTCAACTGATAGCCTAAATTGGCACGGTTCATCGAATGGATAAATCTGGGAATATTTCGTTTAATTTATATTATGTATATAACTATATATAATACTTACACGTATATTTTAATTTCAGCATGGACCTACCTTATGTTCTGTCTGAATATTTCTTTTCGATATCTGTGATCCATGTCATTGTTGTAATATTTCTTATGAGTCTTTTTGAAGTTGTAAAACGCTTCATCCAGATGATCCTCATAATTGTGAATGAATTCACGCATTGGATTAAAAGTATATATGTGATTTTCTCCTGGACCTGGGAAGCTGACACATGTAGCATCTGCAAGAATAATTGATATTATAATCAATCTTATCTATAAATATAATTCGATTTTAATTTAGAAAGTATATACATAGTAATAAAGTAAATGCTATAAAGATATTTTACATACTTCCCGTAATTTTAAAGACATCAGAGCTAGGTGTTTCAGAGGAATACCAATCATAGTCCAGATAATAATGATCATAATGTGAACCTAAGAGACTATTAAATCCTCGCATTTCATATCTTACAGGAATAGCTTCTTTTAGTTTCGGTACATAAGGTGATTTCTGCAAAAAAGTGTTCATTTCAAACATCGCAAATGCTATTTTATTGTATACACAAATAATTTCTTCCTTACCTTATAACGTATCCAGAGTGTATACTTATTTGTTTTCTCTCCAATCTCTTGTACAAGTCGCCATTTTTCACACATTAACCCATTTATCATCTCTTCCCCAATGCACTATACACAAATTTTAATCTATTAATTTATATTGTTATAAAACTAGTTATCATTATTTGCTATAATATATATTATGTGAATAAAACATGCAATTGATTATAGGCTGTCATATTAAATATCTAAATATATCTAAATATATTTTGTGACTTATGAAACTCTGTTATGACAAATATTTTTTTTATTACTTCCATCTCAGATGCATCTGGGAGGATAGTTTGAGGGTGTATCTTCATGTCACTTGTGCCATTTACTTGAAGACATGTATCTTCATTAGTAACACTCTCTGTAGTAACAGGTGCTATTTTTATGCTGGCTCCATATTGTCCTTTGTGAGACAGTTGATAGGTTTTAACCATTCCTATTAGATAAAAATAGAATATATATATTGCTCGTATTTTGTGTACTATATTGATTGTTTTGCATATTTAAACTCTAAAAATAGATGCAAAATAAATCAAACTTGTACCTCCATAGTAATCAATCCGACTTGACCCACTGGCACCATCATACCATGCATAAAAAGGCTCACGAATCTCTGCATATGGTATATACAAAGTTCCTTTCACTGTATATGCTTTGTTGAATGTTGGACCTTTTAAAGTTCCTTTGGGAGATGCTACTGTACAATATATCCCTAAGAAACATTGAGAAATGTTATATAAATAAGATTGCACAATAAACAAAGAATTATCATTAATATCATATTTAATCACTTGAATAACTTACCACAACATATTAGAAGTAGAGTAGTCCTAAAGTTAAACATTTTTGTTGAGTTTCTGAAATGTACAAGCAAAAGTATACATATACTGAAGTATTATCAATATTTTGATAACACAGATGACCCAATCAGACTGTAATGACTGATGGACGATACGTCAATAAGATGAATATAAACATTGTTGTATTTTCCTTGTATTAAAGAGATAACAAGAGAATTTATGCACCATTATTGCATATATCAATATATAATAAATAATGATTATTAAGGAAATAGGACAAGAACAAAAGATTAAAATGATTGTGCAATAAATATACATGTTATCAAATATGAAATTAAGAGACAATTACGTGTATATATATCGAAATAAAATTGTATTTTCAAGACAAATTAGAAGACAATACCTCAGAAACTCATCAAAGTGCAATTATCGTGAGAAAAAAACAGTTCACGGTAATTGCTCCGTTCCTCTCGTTAAACTGTAACTTCGATAGCTGTAATGACGTTATTTTGATTATTTCCTTACGGAGAATTACGTTGCAGTAGCGTTTTCAAACAAAGATATCTGAATCGCTCTAAGAGAAATTAAGCCCGTTTTTCATGAAGCAAATATTTTATCGAAACGCATTCGAATATAAATAAGACGAGTATAAACAGTTTAAATTAAAATTTATTCGATTAAGAGCAGATTTTTCAATTTCTTTGTAAGCTAAGAGTTAAATTATATATTTGTTTTTATTTTTCCCTCAAATTAGACGAAGACAGATATATGATTCAACTGTTAGTTTACGAAAAAGTTGGAAAAATCGACCCTAAAAAGAAAACAATAGACAAAGAATATTTAGTTATTACGTGTCCATGATTAAAAAATTTGAAGAAAATTATATTCAATTGTTTCAATTGAAAATAACAAAGCTCCCACAATATTTAAAAACACAGAATCTATCTTAATTGTATGCGTATGAAATTTACAGTAATTTTGTCGAAATAAAACAAGCTAGTCCCTTCAAGAAACAACACTTGCACAAAGCTAAACGACGAATGCAAGTAAAGTGCAACTGATTGCGAGTGAGTGCATTTATAAGTACTATCCACGAAAGGTCGGGGAAAGCAATTTATTGTAAAACTGACGTCACGAGTCTCATGCAGCGCAGTCCACACTACCAATCTCGTATCTATCTTCGATGGAAACTATCGAAAGAGATAATAATGATAATTTATCAAATGACCTCCAAGGTTCAGTTTACAAGTTAATCGAAATCAGATTTATTACGTGACATGTCACAGCGCACTAAAGTTGTCGAGCTGTACAAGACGGTAATACAACATTGTGAACAGACTTAAATGCAAATCATTCTTTGCTCGCGTATCGCTCTTTACATAATAAGTCACTGTATTTCATACTTCGTCGTAAAATCTGTAAAAACTATGCTTTCAGCTACTATACATGGGTCGAGACTATCCAAAGGGATATCAATATTTCAGGACCAAGTTAAGGAGAGCCTTTGACAGAAATAAGGCGGAAACCGATCCCGAGAAAATCGATAAGATGATAGGACATGGTAATTTCGTGATAAAAGAGCTGGAAGCGTTGTATATGTTGCGCAAGTACAGAACTTTGAAGAAAAGATATTATGACGATTAACGGGGACAAGAAGTCATGTTGTGCACAAATGTCCAATGATATTGCCACGAGTTCTGATTCTGTGATTAGTGTTTGGCATACACAGTATGTTTTATCGATTAGAATTACTATTTTTGTAATGTGTATACTCTTGACATGTATATCGATATCTATATCTTGTAATATTTTGTATAGCAATTAAAATCATTCGTCGAAATGTAGCACTTTATTTATCCAAGTAATTGCACACACGTCACGGTACTGTCATTCTAACCTATATTATTGTTATACGTGAAAATTCTCACTTGTGATAATCTTCTCAGATAAAACCATATTTCAAAGAAAATGCGTGTCGTATTGTAATGAAACATTTCTCTGCGTTTTTATAGAATCTGAAAAAATGGTCGCTTGCGTAGCAGTTATCGGCAAGGATGTGAGTATACATCATTTTTGTATTTATAGGTTAAGTTGTGCAAAAATTTCCAAATATGTGCAATTTTTTGCGTAAATTGTTCAATTGACTCAGACAAATGTGTCTTGCAGAACTCGCCGAAATATATCAAGTGTGCGGATGAAGCTTCTGCGCTGCAATTTCACTATAAAGTACACACATCCATCGATATCATAGAAGAGAAGTTGAGTGTAGGGAACAAAACGACTGTTGACACACGCGACTTGTATCTAGGTTTGTTGTTTGCGACTGAAGAGTATAAAATGTACGTAAATAAATGACATACAATATGCTGATAAATCTGACAGTACTGGAGAAAAAGAAAGAGTACAAGTTCTACTTTAAATATGCTGTGGAACTTTTGTTCCAGATATGGTTATGCAACTAACACAAAAATTAAGTTTGTAATAGTATTACAATCATCCAATGTATCACTAAGGGAAAACGATGTAAAGATGGTAATATTTCTTGCATTCTATGTCACATATGTATGTCATAATTTTGAGTTTTCTATGTCAATTTAATCCTTTAAAATTGTGATTAACAGACCTTTAAGAAGTTACATGCTGCATATTCCAATGCAGTTTGCAATCCATTCTACATTCCAGGTGATCAAATAAATTCCAAGTAAGTCTATTCACACAAAACTATCAAGATGTACTGATGTTACAAGTGATATGGACAAATATTAATTGTGCACATCATTTTTTTAGATCTTTTGACGCATCAGTGATGGAAATAATGAATGTCATATAATATTTTAGATGTATAGAATAAGATATTTTTAATTTAACCAAAATAAAATTAAACTACACAATTATATTCTGTAATAAGTCGGTCGTTAATGAATAATCAATCAATAAATGACAATTGCAAAAGATATTGTGGTATCTTAAAACTATATTTATTTTCCCTCACCTGTAAATTTTTCATACATACACTTCGCTTTACATACATACATTTCAACTCGTTTCGTTGGGTGCGCAAATCAAGACTTAAAAGGAATTGAATTGAGGATTCGATGACGCGCTAAAGCTAAGAGTACAGTCCAGTTCAGCTTTTTGAAACAAACTACACTTTGTATTATATCGATTTATATCGATTCGATTTCTTATTTTTTATTGGTTCATTTCGTTTCAATTTTCTTAAGCGAGTTTTCTAATTCGCTCTCGCCTTTTGTTGTCCAAATCATAACCAATCATCGATGAGCATAGAAGAAAATCGATTGTTGCATATTTCTGAAGATAGTAGCATGGCAGAAACCGTGATCGACAGCAAAGGATGATAAAATGTTCTTACTCGCGTAGTACATAGAGATTAAAGTTAATTGCAGAGACGCAACAAATTAATAAAATAATAAATTTTATCAGTAAATTATATTGTTTATTTCGCTGCAACTAACTTATTCAATTTTATATCTATATTCAATTTTAGGGTGAGTTCAGAATACTTTATTGACTACGCATGCGCGACTGTGTCAGTATATTCCTTTTTTTTTATTCCTCCATCTTTGCGTCAGAAATTGCCTGAATTTGGGTGTTTCATCAACGTTTCTGTGCAGTCTCATTCCTGTCTTTTCATAGTTTGCACGATTTCCTTGAAAGGATACATCGCTGCTCTCCACAGTCATTCATAATGGTAAATCAACGTGATCCGTAATATATTGCGTCTTTCGTAATATTGCGTTAAAATCAACAATCGTTTCAGTCCGGATATACCGGTCTCATGTTAATATGTATTGCACATGGTTTTGTGTTAAATACAGCCACTGTTTCGGCAGTGTTATATGTACGTGATGAAAATTATAAATTAATTTCCTTTAATCGCTTCTCAGACTAATTTGCAGTTTTCACCACTTTAATAGATGTTATAGTTGAAAAAAAAAGTAACAAGGTTATATCCTGAAATAGTTCAAGTTGCAAAATGCACTTCAAACAGGTAATTAATCTGTTGTATTATTTTACTTTGTCCTAAGGTTTCCTTGAACCCAGTACGAATCCTCAAAAATGAAGCTGGTGAGGAAAAGGCAGAGATAGCCAGATTGAGCTTGTTTGTTGGAGCTATCGCCATTGGTGATCTTGTAAAGTCGACTCTTGGTCCTAAGGGTATGGATAAGATACTTGTGGCTCATGGCAGGTCTGCAGGACAAGTACAGGTTACCAATGATGGTGCTACTATACTCAAGAGTGTTGGTGTAGATAATCCAGCTGCTAAAATTTTGGTGGATATGTCACGTGTACAGGACGATGAGGTGGGAGACGGTACTACCTCGGTCACTGTTTTTGGTATATATCTTGTCATTATATGTTTGAATTTTCGATCAGGCCATTATGCATTTGAATTATGCATCTTATCTGATTTCCTATGTTCTTGGCAGCGGCTGAACTTCTGCGGGAAGCTGAGAAGCTGATCGACCAAAAGATTCACCCGCAGACAATTATCTCTGGCTGGAGGAACGCCGTGAACGTAGCGAGAGAAGCTCTGAAAAATGCAGCTGCAGACAATTCCGGAGACCCTGAGCATTTTCGCGAGGATCTGATGAATATCGCGCGTACGACACTGAGCTCGAAGATCCTGTCTCAGTACAAGGAACACTTCAGCAAACTCGCGGTAGATGCGGTATTACGACTCAAGGGCTCCAATAACTTGTCTGCGATTCAAATTATAAAGAAACGCGGCGCAACGCTCGCAGATTCGTTTTTGGATGAAGGTTTCTTGCTAGATAAGAAGCCGGGTGTTCATCAACCGCAGAAAGTCTCTGACGCGCGCATACTTATCGCTAACACGTCTATGGATACAGACAAGATCAAGGTATACGCTCTTCCTTTTATATTTACACGTGTATAACAATTGTACAGTGTCTGAAAGATTTTAACACAGCAGGTAATGCGCAGGTAGATTGGATCAAACAAAACAAAAAATTCCTCTACCATTCTTCAAACAACCACGTAAAATTTCGAAACATTAAGTCATAGAGATATAAAGTCGCGTTACCATTTTCAGTGAAATCTCACGCTTACTGAGTTTGTCTCGCAACATTGTGCACGCTTTGGTTCGTCAATCTGTTCTCATTAATGTCTCGAAATTTTAATTGTAATTATTTGAAAATGGTAGATGAATTTTTCTTCAGTTCGTTCTAATCTATCTGCATACTACTATACCAAAATTTACCAGACATACATCGTATTCAAATCTAAACTCCACATGTACTTTTACAGGTATTTGGTTCTAGAGTGCGTGTAGATTCTATGGCGAAAATTGCAGAATTGGAGGCTGCAGAAAAAGAAAAGATGAAGGTAATGAAACTTGCTATTGATTAACTTAGCTCTATGGCTTAAGGCTATAATAGATGCATTTTCTTGACGCATATTAAACATATTTATATAAACAATTACATTCAAGTCAGATCTCTATTTAGTGAGATCTTACCGGCATTCATGGCTCACATGATTATGTTAAATTTCAGGACAAAGTTGACAAAATCTTGAAGCACGGCTGCAATGTCTTTATCAATAGGCAATTGATTTACAATTATCCGGAGCAATTGTTCGCCGATGCTGGTGTTATGGCTATTGAGCACGCTGACTTTGATGGTATTGAGAGACTGGCGCTCGTTACTGGCGGCGAAATAGTCAGCACTTTCGACAATCCGGATGCAGTCAAGCTCGGAAAGTGCGAGCTCATTGAACAGGTAAATCACTTGATTTAAAACAGGACGTTTTTTTTTATTATGTTACATCGTTCCTATCGCGCGCGCAGATCATGATAGGGGAAGACACGCTTCTGAGATTCTCCGGAGTTCCGTTGGGAGAGGCATGCACCGTTGTCATTCGCGGTGCGACTCAGCAGATCATTGACGAGGCTGAGAGATCCCTGCACGACGCGCTCTGCGTCCTGGCCGCTACGGTTCGCGAATCGAGGATAGTTTATGGCGGCGGATGCAGCGAGATGATAATGGCTTGTGCCGTGATGCGCGCGGCTGCAGCTACACCGGGCAAAGAAGCAGTCGCAATGGAGTCCTTCGCTCGTGCGTTACAGCAGCTACCGACTGTTATCGCGGATAACGCCGGCTATGACTCTGCGCAGCTGGTCAGTGAGCTGAGAGCCGCGCATAATTCTGGCGGTAACACTATGGGATTAGGCAAGTCTGCTGTTATCCGTATTAATGTAATTCTAATATATATATATATATATATATGTATGTAACTTTTTGATACCTTTATATCTAATTCTTTTGTTTATGATATTCTATTATTTCTTTAATACTTTATTTTCTTATTCTACGCTAGAATATGTGAAACTTAATTTGTTTTACAGATATGGAATCTGGCAAACTCGGTTGCATGAAACGACTAGGAGTTACCGAGTCTTGGGTAGTGAAGAGACAGGTTGTTTTGAGCGCGGCTGAAGCGGCGGAGATGATACTGCGTGTGGATGATATCTTGCGCGCAGCTCCCAGGAAACGCGTGCAAGACAGAGGACGTTGTTAATATATTAAAAGGAAAACGTTAAAAAAAATTGAAAAGATTTTCCTCTGCCTTGATTTTACGTTGCTTGCAATTTTTGATATCCGATGTGCAGCCCCTAAAATTAATTAACGCGCTTTAATATAATTGTATAAATTATCGTTACTTCATTACGATAATACTGCATTTGATAACATTGATACATTAATCATATTTATATATTGTTACACACAATGAATAGAAAATGAATATATTTCATCACGTTTTTTGATCGTCATTTTGTATTTAAAGTTTATACTCTGACCTTGTTTCTCTGTCAAATATAGCATTATAGGATATTAAGAAAAGGGTATTGTCTGCGTGTTCGAGATTTTTTTTGTAACAATACAATGGATTCAACGTCAATAAATGCTCCGACATACAATACTTCCTACGGATAACGCACGTTAGTAATATATTTTATTCAACTAATTTATTACATAAGCTACTTTCATAACAATGTGCAGACAAATAGTTGAATAAAATATATTTCACAGTGGTGAAGCAAGTACTTACTATATATCATTCATATGTGTGATTTGATCTTGAATCTTTTTCTCCCCTTAAATTCTATGGATTTTACGTATGTATCAAGAACAATAAAAAAAACTGGAAATATAATTCTGGTATCTATGCGTATCTTGCATATCTCAACATTTATATGGATAAATTTATCCACGTATAACATGGCTAAGTTTCATTGACTATTTACGTTGTAAGTTGATTATTCTTACGTAATAATCGTCAATACTGTTAAACCCGTTTTTACGGAAAAGTTCTTACAGAAAATTTGTGGACAAACATCTGTGATTGGCATCATTTTACGTCCTCAGATATCTCGCTAAATGTAAAACCATATACTCACAGCCAAACAATCAAAAGCTCGGTTCTCTTTACTAAGGTACTAAAAGCGTTGTAAGTTTCGGCTGACGGATTTACACTACATGCGATCTTTAGCGGCAAATCGATTAGTACGCGAATCGTAGCTTTGTATCGTAGCCGAGTTTATCGAGATTCGGCGTACAAGCGAAATTGATCATCGGAGCTGGCCCACACATCAACACAATGGTGTCGGGCGACGGTGGGAACATGTGGTTCTTTATCATGTCAGCGTTAATAAACCCAGTACTGTAAGGCCATCCATCGCTGCTCGTGTCTACCGTGTACCAAACTTTCAACTTGTCCGGATGATCTTTGGCAATACCGTCCAGTTCGTTCCGCAACAAGATGTCCTTCTCAGTCTGATTAGCGAACAGTAAGGATGTTTGCGTTTCGTCCGTTTTGTCCTTTATTATCGCACGAATCAGCTGTAGCATCGGCGTGATACCCGTACCACCAGCGAGCATAACGATCTGCAAGATTCATCAAAATTATCAAAAATCACTTATTTTATCAAAAATCACAATTATTTTCTCAATGATGCTAACAAAGCGACATTTCAATGTAGTAATCATTGTAATTTAGCAAATGGATACACTTGCCTTCTTAATATTATATTCTACAGGTGGTTCTTTCCTAAGAAGTTTTATGGACATTGTGCCATTTCCTTTATAAACCAATCTCCCAGATGGACCTCTGAAGTCAATAGTATCTCCTATTTTCATGTTTTCTAAATATTGAGACAATTTCCCACCCTCAGGGAACTTTGGGTGTACATTCTTGAAGTATACCTGAAAATTTTGTTTGAAGTATATCATTCTTAAAGTATATCTGAAAATTTTGTCAAAACTTTTTCTTATTATCTCATTATTACATTATTGCTTCATTTACCTTAATGACAAGATCCACATAGCCTTCATCATCGTCACTTGAAACAGGTGTATATGCTCGTATCACAACCTCTTCTCTAATTTTTGCTGTTAAATGTACATGTTGACCAATAGGCAAACCAAGAACATGCTTTGGCGTTGGTAATCCAAATCTGAATTTTCTTGTGTCATGGCTTATTATGTCTTTTTGAATAAGAGGCAGACTATATTTGACTACTGGGTCAACCAGCAGTACTGGAGATTTCTTCTTTTTCTCACCCAACCACGACAATGTCTTATATAATTTCATAACAACTCCTATAACAACTATTGTTCCTACCGCAGCCAAGATTGGTAGCACCTGCACATAAAGTTTGGTTTTAATATAAATAGTATAACATTTTTACCTGAAGTTATTCCTCGCTGAGATTACTGTCCAAGATTGCATTTCAAAACGTTCTTTTTGAGGATAATTTCACTGAAAATCCATAGTATTTTCAGTAAAATTTTTCTCAAAAAGGATTTTTTAAGATGCAAATCAGGAAAAGATATAATCAATTATGTGAAGCCCAAATTAGTCAATCGTTGGTTATTCGGTTTCTCAAGGGCACTTACCAATGTTCGTACGTTTGGCATTATGATCGAAAGCGTTGCACACGTGGAACGCGAAAAAGGTTAAAGAACAGCAACCCGAATGAATGAATGAATAAGCAACGGAATCGTAAAGACACGGTAAGGAGGGCCGCGATTTTGGAATTTCTTTGAGAAGTGGAATTCACTTCTTTATTTTTCTTAGCGTCTATTATTCTGAAATAATGTTTTAGAATACACAACAGCACTCTTTCTCCTATCCTATTTTTTATTTTTTCAATAATCTGTTTCGATTTTCACAGGAATTGTTACAAAATTGTCGAGAGCGTCGATGTTATATAGTCATCGTATAAACTGTTCCGAAGTTCGAGGTCGTCCGGACGGAGAATGGTTCGTCGCGTTCGAACGATGCTACCGGCTAGCCTCGCGCTGACAACTTGCAGCCGGCATCTAGTATGAGGACGAGCGTGGATGGGTTATCGGGACGCGCTCCAGACTCTCGCTAATCCGTTAAAATAGACATCGCTTCTCGCGTTTTGGGAATAGCATCATTAGGCACGCGTATTTATAGTTGTATTACTAGAGAATATTACGTATGCTTTGTTTCATCGGCCCCGGATTACCGAACAGTCATCATAGGTTATGCGTGTATGCCTCAATTCGATAGTATTACTCATTTAAGTTTTCTTTAATTAGAGTAGATATGAACATTCTAGGTGAAAAGATCATCGGTATAAATACCATATATACATATGAAGTATAATTTAGTTTTATACAAAGAGTAGTCATTCGACTCGATGACGCGTTAAATTCTTTCCCGTTTTGTTTATGGATTAATGCAAAAATTAGTAACATATTTTTACTTATGTGTAAGATATTGTTACTTATGTTATTTTTATTTTTGTGATTCAATTGGCTCAAAGGTCCTTCATTCCTATATAGCAAATGTCTAAAATACATCCTAAAGATGTTCTAGAAATATATGATACCTCTGAAACGTTTCTAGGGTTGCGTTTCAAAACAACCTTTTTGAGGAAATTTTACTTGAGACTCTATAATTTATGTAACGTGAACTGTAGGTATTGAGTAAAATTTTCCTCAAAAAGAACGTTTTAAAATGCAACCTTGGATGTATTTTGGTCATTTGTGCTGTATGAGTTGCATTGATCCAATACTGATATAAGCCATAATCGCTGATCTCCATGAAGAATTCATTAGTGTTATCCTTAACAAGATAAATTATCTCAACACATTTGAAAACAATTTGCTTCTAATCCTTATTATTAACATTCTACTTATAAGTAGTTATATGTGAAACAATAGACGATTTTTGTAGATTATACACCTCAAGATTAAAATTTACGATAATCAATTGATTTCAAGTAAACTGTTATGACGGAATTTTAGTTCGTGGTTTAACGATCGGTAAAAGAGAGTGAGATATTTGATGAATTTCGAAAATAAAAGATGGCGCTCTCTGAATTTAGATAAAGAAAATTACTTAGACGAGAGAAAATTACTTAGAAGAGAGAATATATCGTCTTAAGTTGCATTAGGCCTGTTCTTTGTAGTTGCACTGCTGAACTGGTGCAATATATTGAAGTGAAACAAATATACGTTTTCTCACTCTAACTTATTGCACTAGTTCAGTAGTGCAGCTACAAAGAACAGGCCTATTCTTCGCTTTCAAAACGTCCTTTCCGAAAAAAATTTTAGTCTTAAGTCTATAGTATGTAACATGAACTATAGATTTAAGAGTAAAATTTTCCTCGAAAAAGATGTTTTGGAATGCAATCCTAATGATTAAAATGTGCTATGTCACTATTTAGATTTAATATAATGATTGAAATTATTTTGAAGCAAGTTGGTTTGGAAGTTTTGAAGTACACACATACAGCAAAGTGACCTTTTTCGCATTGTGATGGAACTACGATTACTTTCAGATAAGTTTTATGAATATTCAACGTAGTGAGAAGATTATGCTTTTGTGAGAACGTTTTTAAAGTGGCTGATTGACTCGTGCGTCTTAGTCGGTACAAGGCCGATGTACGTACTTGATAGTCCATGGTTATGTTCATATTCTCGATTCCAGTTGCATTCAAGGATTCCCGCTCACATACACACGTGCACACGTTTTTGCAAATTTGAATGTTAGATGTTGATGTGCGTTATATTTGCTGCGAACTATAAACAGATACGTATTTATTTACTAATAAGACCCTATGCAACAGAGAGAAAAACAAGATATTAACACACTACACTACAGTCAAGAGACAAAAGGCCTGTTCTTTGGTAACTGCACTGCTGAACTGGTGTGATAAATTGAAGTGAGACAAATATATGTTTTCTTACTCTAACTTATTGCACTAGTTCAGCAGTGCAGCTACAAAGAACAGGCCTTAAAAGTAGATTATGTGACTGTGTTCCGATATTCAACGTGCCTCTCAGTACTATACAATCTATAGTTTATGCCACGTATATTATATAGGCTACGTTCTGAAATTCACTGTAAATTTATAATATACGTGACATAAACGTGACTATAGATTTCCAGTACTTGCAGTTCACGATTGACAACTGACATTTAAGTTTCCCTTCTCGTGAAAAAAGAGGAAATATGAAAATACTATTGACTTTAAACAACACAAATTTGCTATTTTTCATCTTATTTTAACATCTTATAACAGTAAATTGAAAAAAGAAAAAGATGTAAAACTGCACATATGATGCTATAAAAAGTTTTATATTTTAGAAAAAAATATAAAAAGAATTATTAACTTACTTTTTTCGATTTTTATTTATTTCTTCTTTTCTTCCTTGTTTCCTCAATATCTTTCTTATTTTCCTCCTCGAATTTTCTATGTCTCGTTTCAAACTGTCCTTTCGATGATAAGTATTCATAATAAAGTGTGTCTGAGTTACTCTACTGCTTTCTTGTGATCTTATGTTTGCTTGTACGCATGCTCCTATTGGTCGTTGAGAAGTGCCACATTGCATTAATCTCTAATTACTCAAGGATATTCTTAAGCCTTGTGTACAAAAAAATATTAAGAATAAGAAATAAGAATAAAAATTAAGTATATTTTATGCTTAAAATGTAAGTTGTTCTTATCTAATATTACATTATTTTTACTTCTAACTCCTAATTTCTAATTTATAATACATTATCTTTTTGTTTTAAATAAAATAATTCCATTTTCCTAAGTTAGTTTTTAAGTTACTTAATATTTATTCTTACTCCCAATATATATTCCATTGTACACAGGGCTTTATGATTATCTAATATGTTTACATGTACCTTATCATCATAGTATGTCACTGAGAACAAATAATAGGTTATCATGAATTTCAATATAAAACTTGTACATAAGTGATGCAGAAATAAAAAAATTTATATTATATATTTCTCCCCATATATTTCTCGTTATCGAACATTTAGTTTCGAATTTAGTCGTTAAACTTTCATCATATGTTACATAATGCGTAACGTAATATGTTACAAATACACGAAAAAACTGCTTGAAACGTTAATGCTAGAAAATTCAAGATTTTGCTATCTCTGTTAGATAAGTGACACCATTTTTTTTTATTACAATTTGTACGTCATATCAATTTTTAGTATTGTGAGGTACTTAGTAAACACCTAACCAATTAACGATAATATTAACACATTGACGACGGGGCGTTGCGCATAAATGACGCATTTATACGTAATCCGTCGCCAATGTATTAATGTTACAATTTCCACTCAACAATGTAACTGTTACATAGCATATGTTATATTGTATTTACATCCTAGGAAGCACAAGATCTTCAGGGAATATCTTGGAAACGTTCTCAGAATGTCTTTAGAATGTCTTGTGGAGATTTGTGCTGTTTGGGATTGTTGAATGAAAAATTGTAACATTGATGTTAATTGGTATTTGCTAAGTATAAAATGACATTAAAGAGAACAAAAGAGAAGAGGGAGACTGAGAGAAAGAAATGTAGAAGAAGATGCAGATAAAAGGGACAGACCTTTTCCATAACAATTTTTCATATTTGTACATCGGTGTACTTGTGCAGCAATTGAATCCGTTACGAATGTTATTGGACATGCAGCGCTATCTTACAGTTTTTCAGAGCATTATTATGACCGACGAGACTTTGTAGATAAATCAGGGAAATTGGAGATAACATAGATTGTTGGGTGCAGAAGGTTAGAACTGTCAAATGTACAGTGACTACAAATGTATAATAATTTTACAGTCGTGCAATATTACCTGCTTTTGAATAAAAGCCTTCTATGGCGATTCTGCATCGCGCCTTGTTTGCGTGGTTCAATGCGCTCATATTTATGATTCTGCTGGCCTTGAGACTTGACCAGAAGATCCAATGGAATTGGTTTATAGTTTTTATCCCACTATGGCTTTACGACAATTTTCTGCTTATATACATTGTCTTCAACATGATCTCGCACTGCAAGAATCCACTCAACAGACATATTATCAGTTTGCATCGGAAAGTAAGTATTTAAAATTTTTGTTCTACAATCAAGGCCCATATATGTTTCATGTTATTTTATGGAAGAATAGAAGGATACTTGAAGGAAGCTTGATTGTCATAAAAAAGAAGCTAATGACATGAGAAATATGTAACTTTAATTTTACTTTAATAAATTAGTATTTTGAATCTTAATGTAACAATGACAAACTTATTTTAGGCATGGTACATGACAATTGTGATTATGTTCATGTGCGCTAAGATTCTGATTTGTCTGAAGCTTGAGGTGCCTCACTGGTTCTTACCAAGCAAAGTGGTACTGGCACCATTCTGGCTACTTCTTCCAGCACTGACGGTAGACATCTTCATTCATTTGATACAGCACTCGAGATATTGACAATGGATAAATCCTACTTGGTTCCAAGTTACCTAAGGAGATATATGTATTATTAAAACAATATGCTAATGTAAGTAATATAAGGAATTATTTTATTAGTTTTATGGATATTTACTGTAATGTATTATATAATAAAATATATGATTGTCAGTGCTATTTGTCACTATTATGAATTAGATGGTTATATTTTAAGATAATACTCAAAGAGAAACTTAACATTGTGATAATGGATTTACAGTTTTATTTATTGGATTATCTCAGCTTACTTACACTGAACTATGAATATATAACATGAAATTAAACATTATATCATCACATATATTAATTATATTCATTGTACAAAAACATATGAGTATATGAGTGTCTTTTACTTTAAATCAAACATGATCCATGTATTTTACTTTAAATTAAATACCTGACAGGAACAATCTTTGTTCTGCAAAGGGAAATCAGTAGATTATTTTATAGCAAGATCTGAGAACCTGTCACTAGGTATATACAGTAACCTACTATAAATACTTGTATTGCACAAGGCCAAATAGGACAGAGTTAAAAATAAGTAACTCTATGGCAGTACATGTTGTAGCAATTTACTTATCAGTGAATAAACATGTTATAAAAATCTGTTAACTGTTCAGTTATTACTTAAAAACAATAGAAGCAGTGAGCAATTGCAAGAGTTGATCTTTTATGATTACGCAACATTCAATATAGCCTCTTACCTTGTGAACTGAATAATTACTGTGACAACCATCTGTGAAGAACAAACTGGTTTTGCGACATTACAGCTGTGAAGAAAAAGGTGATCAATGTAATTATGGAATGTAATTATGGAATGAAAGAGGAAGTCTAGTAACAACTGATAGTCTGCTAACATTGATCGTGAAGTGTGCACAATAATTGTACATATTTCTATAAGTTTTTCTCTTTTGTTTTAATTTTTATATAAATTTCATATATAAATATATATATTTCGACTATAGATTATATTTTGGAATAATAGTAGTGAAAGTGTATGTATATATCAGTTATCAATAGACATACTCTTCCTCTCTGTGTTTTACATAATTTTATGTGTAACTTATAAACTAAATGTATTCTTTATAAAATGTTTATAAAGAATACATCTATATTCGGAATATCGTTTTCCAGGTGACCATGTGGCCTTTTATACTTTTTTATTCATTACTTATACTACAAAAATCGGAATGTGTAGGTGATGTAGTAACAGTGAGAGAAGTGACAGCTGGACATTTGGCTGAGCTTCCATGCTTAAGTATTGATGATCATCATCGTTTTATGTTCTGGCAATTTGGAAATAATGATGTTATTGGGCCAGGAAATCCGTTAAATGAAAAAAAATATAATTACGAGGTATTGACTGGCAAACTCATGATTAGGGTAAGAGTGTTTGAATATATAATATACACTAAAGTTTCCTTTTTTTTCAATGGTAATTTACTTGTAATTTTTTAGGGTGTATCAACAGCAGAATCTGGTTTCTACAAATGTGTCTCGAGAGGTTTATCAGATGAGTCTAGTTTCAAGATTCACTCTGTTGAATTAGTAGTTAAGAAAGATTGGGAAGATGTTTGGGAAACTGATTTTGAGGTATTGCAAGGCAATACATGAAAGGAAGCAACCGTAATTTTATTCTATTAAAAAATATACCTTTTGTTTAGACAAATTTACTACGAGGACTAGCTGCTGTGATGGTGATAGTTGTTGCTGTAGCTGTTGTTCTTTTAATTATTACCATCAAGAGAAAGAAAAATCAAAGATTTTTCGGTAAATTTTTCTCAAGTTAACGCACAAAAACGTATTTGCGAGCAATAAATATTACCTTTCGGTTATTTTTACAGATTTGGAGGAGTCGAGAGAAAATTCTCCTGCACGGTACAGTCCAAATATTACATCAGGTGTTGCATCAACCGCTGAAGTTAGTGGTGGAGTCGATAATGCTGCTCTTGACATTGACTTCCCTAGAGTGTTTAAACAAATGCAGAAGGAACAAGCAATGCCATAGATTGCGAGAGAGATTATTACACAACATAGAATTATTATACATAGTAGAATATCTATATGAACATACATACTTCCTGCAAGTACTTTTTCTCATTCTTAGATATGAAAGAAACAATGTAGTTCTGTTGCTTCGAAATGTACATATAATTATTCAATATTATATCGTACAAACAATATTTAGTTTATAAACTATTATAGTAAATATATTTTAAAATTATTCAATATCTTATCGTATAATATTTAATTTATGAATAATTATAGTAAATATATATTAGGAGTGCACGAGAGAGATATTATATTTATATACAGATAAAAGTAAGTCAGATAAAAGTTGAATTTGTTAATAAATGACGTTGAAAAGCAAAATTCTCCGAGCAGTCATTGTCCACATTTATAATCTACTCGATCGTAGATTATTAGTATCTTGATTGTGTGCTATTTACATTTCTTCAACTATACTCTTGCTATGAAGACACTTCCACAGGTGCACTGGACGTGGCATCCATCATGCTATCTTCGATTCCCGTTTCGTCATCTTCATCGTCTTCCTCATCTTCGGGTTCCACTTCGGTTTCAAATAATCGGATCTTTCTATTTTCGCTCAAGATAGCAGCTACCTTCCGGGCACCGCTGACCGCCAATTGTCTGGATGTTCCTTGGAACGGTTTTGACCATGTTACACCGTAGATGTCGAACAAAGTCATCGTATTGTCATTTTGACAATCAAACACGCTTATATCACGTAATGGTACTTGTATAAGAAATGTCGTGTGAGTTTGTTCGTTCAGCGTAAGTAAGCTGAGATAATTCAGCGAGTAAAACTGTAAGTCTACTATTACAGTATTGGGACTTCCCTTGGAATATTCTCCTGTGGAATATAAAAAAATTATTTCATAATGTATATAAACTTTTAATCTACAGCTGTGTAATACTAACCGTGTTCGTGATCCAGGTTTATTGTGATCATCTTCGAAGCAAGTGATGCGGGTTCCGCAGACGAATACTCGATTTTGAGAAGTTTGATAGACTTGCTGCCAGTATCGCTTATGGCTAATAAGAGATTTCCATCGGTCGTTACAATTTGCGAGGATATATTAGCCACGAGTGACGACAAAGAGATATCACAAAGTGATATCATCGTGAAGTGATCAACCAAGCTCTGATAGGATTCAGTAAAAACATTTTGTATGGCAGTGACTAGTTTTGTGTGAGATTGCAATAGAGATAAGTTGAAATCTTGCTTTACTATGTGTGCATAGTTGCGCAAACAATCATTTGTGTCGAGCATGGTGGCCCATTCGCTCCCTTCCGGCGTCAAATGAGTCTGCAGATCTTCATGACGCAAGTATTGACCTAACTTTTCGAGATTTACCACTCTTCTGCCATCCGCTCCCGATACACTTTTGTCAAAACCATGTAGAAATTCGGCGATGAATGTTAATTCTTGCTGGCTTACACGACTCACTTCCGGCGGTATTCTTTCGTCTGTTAGTTGGAGAATAGCCACATATAACCAACTAAAATAAAGAATTAAATCCATTAACTACGTGTAACGATAAATTAATTGATGGTATAATTTTTAATTCTTACCGGAAGAATGCTTTGTAATTGCGCATACTTTGGTCTATGACTTGCTCTATTTCGTACGACTTCGCCAGGAAAGCTTCAGCCTCATTTATGGCATTAGTTACAAGTGTTTCATCGCGCAAACCTATCGCCTCGTACGGGCCACCTACTCTCACTAATCCTCTTAATTCGGCTAATTGATAAACCAAAGCCATGCCGACACTGGTTAAATTTTTTGAAACTAATTTCTGTAAAAAATTACTTTAGCATTTAATGAGACAAGTAAAATTAATCTAAATTATTTTTTACAATATATACCTGTATATTACCGTAACACATTTCGATACTATGACCAAACTTTTTCAATCCCTTCTCTGTAAGCTCTCGTAACAGGAAATTTTCTACATTTTTTGTGGGTACTCCGATCATTAGTAGTTCCAGAAAATCTGCAGGCATACCACCAGGTGGATTTGCTTCTGCATATCGTGTGAGTTTCTCATCCATTTCTAGGAGTATCGTTTCCCAAGCTTCAGAAGTGGCCATTAAAGTACGTGAGAGGTAATCCTTTAAACATTCTATATTGGCTTGAATTTGTGCAATCTGGAAAAAAAATATATATTACTATGATTTGTATTTCTTCTTAGTGCAACATTAAGTTACCATGCATAATATTTCAAAGAATAATTCTTTTTTTCTACAATCTGTTACAAATAAGATATATCGTATAAGAGACCTTAAAAAATGCTATGTTTCTCTCCAATAATGGACAAGATACTCTGGTTGTCTTAATGCAATTTTTATCTCTCCATGTAATCCACATTGGGCCTTCAGACCCACCTGTAATCTGTAAAATTGGCCCATTGCCTACAGTGATAGTGCCACAATAAAACATACCAAAAATATACATTAATACTGTGCCATCTTCTTGACCAATCTATAAAAAGGTATACATGTTACTTATTATTTACAATGATGATATGAATAAATCATTTTTTGTGATACATACATATAGCATATCCAAAGTATGTGTTAGAAATTCTTTACGTTCTGGTTCCTGATTGAAAGTTCTGTTTAAAGTAGGCAGAGGTGGTAAATAATCACCCGTAGGTGAAATATCAGTTTTATCAATTGTTGATGAACTATCATATCCTACATTAGGTAGTAACAACCATTTCATGCAGTAAGTTAAGTGGGCATTTGTTGGCATTTTAGTTTTGTGAATGACATTTTTAGTTTCAATATCGATGAGAAAGAGCAACTTGGAGATCTCGTAGCATACACCAAGAAGTTTTCCATCTGGTCTCCATGCTAAATGGGCAATAGTGTCAAACTCATCTTGCGGACTTAGCAATAACACTTTTTGCCATGTGAGTCTATGAAGAACAACTTCACCTGTAATATTTATAACATAATGGAATATGATCTAGTGGAAGATTTTCTAAAGCTGTTCTTGTAACACTGAATAAAATTGATTGAAGTTTGATTGAATTTTGTTCTTTGAAAAGAGACAGAGTTAAAAAGAAGAAAAGAATAAATTCAAGGAATGTTAATAATCCTAAAGGTTATCAGATTCTAACCTTTTACATTGCTAATTGCTAAAAGGTCCATTTTGGGTGACCATTGCATCCACCTCACTTCCGCAGGAAGTTGCCGCACTTCTAGCTGTCTCATAGCACCAGCCATATCTGGAATTTCTTTTTAAATACGTTTTATACGAAAATTGTATTGTAGGTGCTTAAATTGTACTTGTGTAGTCTGTCATGTTTAAATGTTGCATAGCAACCGCCATATTGTTACACTCTTTATACCGACAATCGATTTACACCGTGTAGACGTAGACACATATTTCGAGGCAGAGATGACGCCACTATGCCAATGTGTGTGGAAAACAAAGCGACCAATGTCAGCGCGCTTGGACATAACGATACTGGCGCCAATGTATCGTTATGTCCACCGCTGATTGGTCAGCGTCACTGTTGTCCTCATATGTGTGGCGCTACGGAAAATCTGACGTAAATTCAAAAATTTCGATACTTGCTTTAGCGCCTCGGCTCCACCGGCTCGTAGGATTGTTTCGCGACATTCTCGTGTTTTAATAAACTGCTGTGTCGAATTACGCGCGGAATTGCGTGCATTGTTGTAATTTTCGCTGTGTTTGATAAGTGTTTGTGGAATGAAACATGTCTCTTGAATTTCATACAAGCGAGAATGCAATACGTTGTATATTGGAGGTTATTTCTACTTGCAAAAGTAAGGCATTTTACAAAACCAAATCCAATTTAGTAGAAGTTACTTTGGTTATTCGTTTTATACACTTATGGCTATATGTACAGTTTTATTCAATATCCTTTTGTAATTATAGGAAACGCTTTTAAAAAGGAATTATTCGGCGTCAGTCTTAACCGACTTGATTAAGAGAAATAAGCATTGGAAAAATAATAGCAGTGATGACGAAATGCGCGCATAAGGTCGTTGGGAAACAATTAATAAGACCTTATCTCTAGACTGAGAAAATCGTTCAAAATCAAGATTGGCAATCAACGATTTCCAGAGCTTTCTTGAGATATTTCTCCATCTTGATTTTTGCGAGTCAGCTCACAAAATGGCTGCTTATCTCCTCGGAATCAAGATTTATGTAAAGTATGTCCTATATTTCGCTCTTATTTTCACGTTTACTCAAGTGACAAGGTGACGGCAAATGGCGTTTTAATGACGTCTCGGAGTCAACAAGACGTCACTATAACGTCACTTGACGTCACCTTGCTGCTTGAGTAATAACATCGCTGATGGAACAAAAGAGTGTGATAGGTTCAACCTTCAAAGTATATTTCTCGATGTAAGAAGAAAAAAATAGCGGAAGTTTAGCCATCGCGGAACGCAGAATACGCGGCTGACTTGACTTTCGAGGTTATAGGGATGCATTTGTTGCGAGCAACTCTCGGCATGACGGTGTGAATTCTCGAATCATTTCCTCACTGTCAATTCGGACGGCAGGCGCTTCGCCGTGCGCGCACACGAGAACGGGCTTGTGCAGCTGCAAGACGACGGGCGTTCTAATGTGCAACGGCTGCGACGATAGGTGACAGGAATACGAGAAGACGATAAGGGCCCGCCGTTGTTTAGGTCTGTCGACGGTCGCCGCCGCCGTTGTCGTCACCGTCGCCGTCTCCGGACGGTAGAGAGATATCACGTCGTATCAACAGAATATTCCATTATGACTCGCGCACATACACGTCCGCATTTGTGTCTGCACCTGCGAACGCAGGTGCGGCCAGGACGTGCGAATTTCAGGGGATACTGGAGTCGGTAACGAACTCTGAAAAATGCACGATAACGTAGAAATGTCATACAAACACGCTGTACTTTCATATTTCTTGTGCACATGCAGATCTTAAATTGAGAAAAAATTTACTAAATTTCAAAAAACGTTTATTTGAATACAACTGTGAACATATTTGTTTATATCAAGTAATTATTTACTAAAATCAAAGAAAGAAATTTATATTTAAAACTTCTTTATTTACTTTTAGAAAATGATTCTTAACTTAAATATGTTCACAGTTGTATCCAAACAAACGTTTTATAAAATTTAGTAAATTTTTTTCTCAGTATACGTGAATGTATATTGCTTTGTTTTGTCATATTTAGAGGAAGATCTAACCACACATACACACGCATACACACACACACACACACACACACACACACACGTATATATATGTATAGAGATCTTTCTGCAAACTTTTCTGAGATTTTTAAGTTTCTGAGTTCAGATGTAAAGGCACAGGGATGTTTTTTGAATATTTTTAGAGTTAAAACTCGCGTTTAGTATACATATACAAGCTACAGATCTTTTGTATCAGACGAATATTTAATTTAATTGACAGCGAATGTCTGATAGATTTGATTTACATTCGAGATGTCAACTTTGAAATTTTTTGTCATACATCGAGCGATGCTCTAATTCACTCTCGCACGTGTTTTTATTGTGCAAGAGTATTTATAATCCTGTGCACTTAGTACAACATAAACTTTGCGGAAAAAAGTCAGTATTCTGCCGGCAAAGATTTCGACTACAGCATCTCCTTAATGCTCCTGGCTACTCGTCGCAGTCATATCGGATGGTGACGTCAGAAGCGAGAAACGGCACGCATATATTTACGTTTGTAAAATGTTAAGATAGTTTGCGAAGCATTTTGCAAGTATGCTTAAACGATCTGAAGTGTTCTCTCATACAAACACCTGTTTATTTGGAAGTGGCACGCAAGAATTTCGGTCGTATATTTTCTCGCTTCTGACATCATGAATCAAGAGTTCCGCGGCGAGTACTCAGGAGCCTTAACGTTTGAATTTAAATATTAATGGCTGTCATCTGAAACTTGGTTCATATGAAGTACTCAGGTTTTTCTTTAGAGTTCTAAGTTTTTTGCAATTGAATTATGATGTATGTGATATTTATGTCTACAATTGGGAAACTCTCATCTAACTTTGAATTCAGATCTGAGTATCTCACATTTGAGAAGAGTTTTAAGCAATAACTATTAATACAGACTTAAAAATCACGATCAAGCGTAGATATAAAAGAGATGTTTCAAATGGCAGTGATCACAGAGCACTGGAAGAGAGAGAGAGAGAGAGAGCAAAGGTGGCATTATTTGGTTGTACGCGATTGCGCGATTGATCGATTGCGCGATTAATTAATTGGGATATGATGAATTATGTACGAGCGCGAGAACGATGATGAACACTTTGTTACGAAATACGCGCGGCCTAGTTTATTACGCTTACAACACAATGTTTTAAACGTGATGCTATTCATTTCGAAAGATTAAACGGCCCGCAATGGCAGTCTTTGAAAATGTATAACATGACCCCTTCAATAGCCCCTCCGCGCGTGAACGTGAACGTACACAACGTCATGGACATTTTACTGTGAACGCGAGCACTGCTTAAACATGTATCGGATAATGTAACAATATCATTTGTACCATTAATGCCGTTTGCTTCCGGATTGTATAAATTTCATTATACTTGCATTCGCATTGTTGACCACAATTATCTTTATAGTGACATAATGCGCGATATTGTATGTTAGTAGTGTATTAAATGTTACTTCGAGGACAGATCTTTTGGGAGTTCAATTTTCAACCAAAAGACATTCAAAAGCAGACCCAACCTCCTCAAAGATAAGCAAAAAATTCAAAATTTTTAGTTTCCAAAAATCTTCCAAATAACCAATTTTTCAAAAAACCTTAAAATCAAGTAAAAATCGCTTCAAAAATAATTAAAACCCAACAAAAACTGAAACTTTCAAAATTTCCCAAATTCTGAACATTCTAAAATTTTGGGAGATAAGAATCTCAAAAAATAAAGAAAAATTATCTTAAAAATCATTAAAAATATCACAAAACGTCAGTATTTCAAAATACCAGTTACAAGTGAGGATAGCAGTGATTGGAAGATTAAAAATAACTTTAACTATCGTTAAAATACCAGAAAAATAAAATTTAAATCAATTTTAATTAGTGTTACAAGAAGAGCTTTAGAAAATCTTCTACTAGATCATATTCCATTATGTTATAAATATAACTGCCTACTTTAAACAGAACTTTCAACAAAGAGAACTTTCAGGAACCAGAATGTAAAGAATTTCTAACACATATTTTTAACACTTAATACACTGCTTGCATCGTTAATTTATCAACTCCGCGGTATCGATTGGATCCCGGTGAAACGAGAAATTCCAAATCGACCAATGAGAAGCATGTTATTATAATTCCGTGTCGCTTCGTGTGACTCGCCGGGCATGAGGAACGCGTAGAACGCGACGTGGAATTTTCTGTTTAATTTTTCAGCCGCGCGCACCCGGGAAACCGAGAAACGTCTCTCCGCATTCTCATTCCGTCGATTCGTCTTTATCTCCTGCAACTTTTTTTCGCGGATAGATATTGGAAAGTAATCTTCGACTATTGACATTTTTCCTTATCGCGAGATACCGTCGACAATAAACTTGATTATGCTCAAAGGATGGCATCCGCTTTTAGATATTGAAAATAATAAAATACTGTGAAGAAAATACGTAAAAGGAATGAGATATTGCAGGAAAACGATTTCAAGAAATAATTCAGTTACTGTCCGAGAAATAGTCTCGGATTCGTTCGCGGATTACCTGAGAGAGAAAAAAAGTTTGCCGGCGCAGCACAGTGAAAAAAGAAAGCTAAATACCGTGCGCGTACCGTATGCCGTGCATACTATACGTACTTTAAGATCTTAGCGCGGCGAACAGATCTTATATACGACTAAGTACAGATTCTCGACGGAATATATACTCACATATGTATTTTTCCAACGCAGCACACGCTCCAATCTGGGGATTGAGGGAAGAAGCTGCCACTGGAGGACGGAGACGCGAAGGATGTCGCGACAACGGCGGCGGCGGCGTTGAGGAAAGGAGATATGGATGGCGAGGGAAAAAGCGGCGTGGGAAGAGCTTGGCGAATGCGAGTGAGCACGCAAGAGAGAAGGAGAATGAAAGAGGACGACAGGGGTAAGAGAGTGGTGGCACTATTGGGGTTGTAAGAAGGAAAGAACGAACGTTATTAACACTATGCATCATATACTGGCTACAGGCTACCGTAGAACGCTAGCAAGGCTTTTTATTGCTTGGAAGATAAATCACGGCGAAATACTGGGAAGTTGATGACTTTTCGCCGCACACTTTACTCTGATTAAACTCCGCTACATCCTCGCGAGAGCGGAGATGTTTGACTCTAAGGTTGCCTCGAGTTTCTGCGCTTTTGTCTGTGTGTTGTGCGCTTCAGACTGGCATTAACATCTGTAACCCCGTGATGATGAGGGAAGAGAAAGAAAGAGAGAGAGAGAGAGAGAGGGGGGGGGGGGAAGGAAAGCGGGTGCGGAAACTTTCTCGTAATCTCTTCACGAAATTCATTGCGAGGTAGACGTCTGTCAGTCTGAATCAGACAAGCTATTAAATTTTGTTTCCCTTAACAGAAGCGGTCATTTTCTATTATGGAGTCAAAATTTTGGTTCTACGGTAGCTCTGAAAATTCCCTCCTGACTTGAAGGATCAATGAAGACTCTTGAGACAGAAAATTCTATAAATTGTTGTTTTCTCTATGATGAGTTTCCAAAAAAGATTAATTTAAGGATTATTTACTAGATTCTAACATCCCGACGTTCGTTTCCGAGAGCATAACTAATTATAAATTTGTATCTACAAACCGTTATTCAACTATTTAGATTAATATTTCTTGTATGAAGTAAGTACAGGTAAAATGGATGAGTGATATTTATCTCTCAGAAGTTTAAAAAACAATAATTATTTGTGAAATAATGATTATGAATGCCGTTTAAATGCCGATTTAGATAAATCCTTATTTTCGACAAATTTGTCAAATGTTCATTAGAAAAACAGAAATATCACCTATAATGAATTATTTGGCGTCGAAAATATATGATGTATTGCTGGTAGGACTTGCGTCTTTTGTTGTTTTGTCTTTCTGTCGTCTTATCGTCCTTCGTCCTAGCTTTCTAATCCATAGTCCTGTTCCACCTTGCTTCATTGTGGCACTTCATGTACTAATTCGTGGCTGTGCACTCGCATGGATACGATTCGATTGGCGGAACACGTTTTAATTAACGCGTGACGCCGACGAAAACCCGATTAAATATTTCAAGAGCCGATGAAACATTTTAATTATTCGACAGAAATTGCAGCTAACGTACTATTGACCGTACTACACTGGAGTGTATGTCGTTCACCGGCTTGTATTATAATATAACATTCTCTGGCGGAAAAGTACACGACGAGAGAAACGAAACAAAAAAAAAATGGGAAAAAATTTATATTCAATTATCAGCCGTTGTCGCCAGCCACAATAAAAATTAACACTCTCGGGACACCGTAGACCGTCAAGGAAATCAAACTTATCTTTGTGCTTCGTGGACTTTTTTGATATTTTCATTATGTTCCGAGATATATAACGCGAAGTACGTGCATTCTTGTGTCGGGTAATCAAAATATTTCATCATCTCTTGAAATATTGAATTGTCTCTCGTCCGTATCACGTTAACATTTATGATTGCATTTACGCCAGAAGCTAAGATGTTGGATTGGTAAGCCAGGAAGCAGGATGCTGAAACGTAGGCAATAATGCATCATGCATTTCAAGATATGTCAAATGGTTTATTATACAGGAACTTCTCGACTTTAATTGACGTTTGACGAATTTACTAAGAATAAGGGAACATTGTGTGAGTCGAAGTTTAAACCGGTATTTATAGTCCGCTATTATTCAATAAATTGTAGGTCTACAATTAGCTCCATGAATTTTTGCTCGCCAAGCTGTATTTATTTCATACGACACAAATATTGATCCAAATATTTAAATAACGATCTATAAATATGAATCACTAAAGTAGTTGGAGATATTAATTTACTTTTCCCGATATTGTCTTTCTAAAGTCGTTTTATGCACGTTCACACATATGCACAAACATACATATCGTTAAGATATTTTTAATTTTAGGTGAAAAATATATGTCGATGGCGATAACAAGACGTCATACTACCAAGAACTTTTTGTTCGCGGTGTCACACGTGCGATGAGCTACATAAGTAAATATAAGTCAGATTCAACGATCGTCCCGCGTACTTATATACGTATCGTTAAGGCATTTTTAACTTTAGAACCTTAAATATCAAGCAGTTATGTAAACCCTAAACATGAGTAAATTTTACCTAGCGCATTTTTATTTGCTCCTAACTTCGGAGAAAATGTTAGAAACTTAAACCTTTCTTTTTTTAATTGGTGTAGAAAATGTCGAGGAATGTGAATCTCTTTATTAATGTTTTAGCGATTCAGTGAAGTTGAAAAGAGTCATAATAAAAAAACGAAATACATGTTTTTAAGAACGGTAACATTTGAAAAGCTAGTCTGAATTTTATCTATGTTTAGAGGTCTAGAGTTAATACCGGACAGAGATACATACAGCGGCGATGATAATGAGACACGCTTGCAGGACTTTCTGCTTTTCTCGTGCCTTAACGCCGTTCGTTTCGTTCGCTTGTACCGACGAACCCGTATAAACATAAATCGGTCCCCGCAAAATCGATGGTTGCGCCATGTACACGGTACGTTTCTCGCGCTTTACCGGCGTAACGTGTTGCAACCCCGTGTTCACCCCCATTTGTACGTCTACGAAATTTCATTTCCAATTCCAATGGACACCAATCTCCAAATTGAGCGCCGTGGAGCGCACGTGCTTCATGAGAGAGAAAGACAGAGAGAGAGAGAGAGAGAGAGAGAGAGAGAGAGAGAGAGAGAGAGAGAGAGAGAGAGAGAGAG